AACTCGAGAAAACTACTGTATCGATCCGGCTGAAAGTTTCTGTGAACATTTTAAATTCCCTTCCGCACCTCTGTTCCAAATTTCAGATCAAACAGATTTGAAATGGCGAAATGCCAGCGTGACCTTTTTTATTGGGACACCCTGTAATTCCTTCCATAAAGACATCTCATACATTTAGTCCCGGGCCTCGTCCACACCGAATTCCAAACCTTCGGAATGGTTTCTGCACGGAGGAGTCGAAGGACGAGGTATCGGAATTTAATGAAAAATCTGATGAGGCTTTTTAGTTGATGGACGCCTTCGCCAAGTCGCATCCACTCGGAAGGGGAGCTACACCTGAAGAGGTTGGTATAAGAGAAAGAGAGAGAGCGAGCGAGCGAGCGAGAGAAAAAAAAAGATGGAGAGGGAGCGAGAGAGCAACCTTAAAATGGTCTAGATCGCTCGTACTATCATCTTCTTGGCCAACCCTGGAGTCGAGCTTCACGACCGGGGCTATCATGAATGTCGATGGAGGCCTAGTGACCGGATCGCATTCGTGATTTTGAGGATGAGAATCAATGCTATTCCTGAATTTTGTTCCCTATTACCGGCCACTCCATTTTCAAAAATAAGGACGATGAAAAAAACCTTGATGAAGACCCCTGAGTGCAAGAAAAAAATATGACTTTCAATGCACAAACCAAACTAGCAAAAATCGCAAAAATCAAAAGTGAATTAAAATGAAAGTTTCCGATGAAATATTACAAAAAATTCAGGAATCGACTATAAGCTACAAATCACACGGTTTTTGCATCTTACAATTAGATCCAGCCTGAATTTGGGCTTAAACTTTAAATTGATCGCAAAGATAAAAGTCCCAAGATATCAGGGAAGGCTAAGGAGAAAAATTCTCTTTACAACCTCCAAGCCGCCAATCGAAACCAAAAGAGCACAAAAAAATAATACTCGCAAAATAAAAGAGCACCAGAATACAACCGTTAGGAACAGGGTTGGTCACGCTGGATCCTAATCGGATCCGGTCCGGTCTGGGGGTCGGTCCGGTCCGGTCCGGTCCGAAATTCCATCCGACTGGGACCGACCGACCGGACTGACCTGTCCGGTCCGTGGCGGACCGAGGGGTTGTGGATTTGCTAGAGAAACGGAAATGCAACATGCAAATTCGGAATACAAAAGAGTGGCGTACCAAAAAATGACGCAATGTGGAATTCGCTTAATCAAAATGTATAAAATTATTCCTCCCCCATTAATTTTTGGCTATATACGCGACGGCTAGTAGCCTAGATGTGGAAAACTATGTCAAATTCTTCGCGAGTAGTATTTTGCATACAAAATTTTCCATATCTGGCTCCTGAATCATATCCCTTCGTGTTCAGAACGGACGGGACCGGTCCGATCTGGTCCGGTCCGGTCCGGTCCGGTCCGGTCCGAAACTCCGGGTCCACTGACCGATCCGACTGGACTGGACCAAGTGGACCGTCCGCGGACCGGATCCTTTGTGACCAACCCTGGTTAGGAACGAAAAGTGAGGAGGCCCAAATAATGGAGGATTCTTTTTTTGCAAATTTTCGCCCCTCCAAACCACACATTTTTGCCTCATGATTCAAGCCTGAAGCCCCCTGCTAAACTTGACCAATAAACCGCTGAGCCCTAGCCGTGCTTTCTACTCGATTTCCATCCGGAAACTGTCTGCTTTGTGCCCCACCTCTCTCTTACTCCTCTCCACGACCATATGTTTGGTTTGTGCTCGCGCGGTCAGGGCTGAGGGAAAATACGTAAAAAGGGGGAGTGGCCAGCGAGGGCACGGCGTGCAAGCTCGGAAAATAGATAAAAGGAGGGCTGACCCGAGGAATTCAATACGCCCGAACACTTCCCACAAATAACTCTCAGCTGAACATGAAGGTCGCCGTGATTACAGGTTGGTTTTTGGGACAATTTTAAAGTTGAAAAATTACTCATAATTTATCTATGTATTTTCGGCTTCCTTTGATGTTTTAGGGGACTTCTAGTTTTTATGAGTCGGTTTTTTAAATGTATCTAAAAGGCCTTCTGTTTCATTAATGCTCAAAAGTCTTCTTAGAAAAAAAAAATACACTTTTCTAAGCACTATTACATTTGCCAAAAATTTGTTATGCGCTTACCCCAAAATTTCATTAAGATATGATTTTTGTTTTTCTTATTTTTGGCTTTTTCGCTTTTTTTAGCTTGTAATCACTGTATTAGGCACAACTGATGCAAACACTAACAATTACAGTTTTTTTCCGGGTCCTTATTTACGGTTTTTAAAGGGAAGGCGCCATATCTTCGAGATTTACGGCTCTTTTCTAAAATACGCCCTTTCTAGGAGCCTCCTCCGGCATTGGTCGTGCTACTGCTGTCGCACTAGCAAAAAAGGTACGCTTGGTATTGACACCTAATTTCAAGGAACCGTCAATGCAAAAGGCACCTTACCCAGCCATACTAAAAATTCAGGGCTACGCCATCGCCATCACTGGCCGCTCCCAGGATGAACTGGAGAAGACCCAGAAAGCCAGCACCGACGCTGGATGTCCGGCGGATAAGGTGTGAACTCCTTGAACTTGACGGAAGTAGTACTTTTAGGTCATCATCATCCAGGGCGATCTCACCGAGAAGGCCACCGCCGAGAAGATCATAGAAGAGACCGTCACCAGGCTGGGCGGCATCGATGTGTTGGTGAACAACGCAGGTTTCGCCATTTCCGGAATGCTGTCGACGATGCCGGTCGAGGAGTTTGATCGTCAGATGAATTTGAATGTTAGGAGGTAAAAACAAGCCTAAGCCTAAGCTTAAACCTAAGCCCGAACCTAAGCCAAGCCTAAGCGCATGCCTAAGTCTCAGCCTAAGCCTAACCCTAAGCGAGGAAGCCGACTTACAAGCCTACGTTTACCCTAAAACCCTAACCTAAACTCGCAATTTTCAGCCTCCACCAAATCACGCAGCTCGCCCTCCCCCACCTCCTCAAGTCTCACGGAAACATCGTCAACATCAGCAGCATTGCATCGGAAACGGCTGTAAGCTCGTATTTGGCGTCATTATCTTTGCGTTGTTCAGCACCCGGCCGCCGGGTTTTACTGCATCTCCAAGGCCGCCCTCGACATGTACACCAAGTGCATGGCTCTGGAGTTGGCACCAAAAGGAGTTCGCGTTAATAGCATCAAGTAAGTACCTTTATTAAAGCCTTACCTGAGCTTTAAATTGATCCCGGTATAAAAGTATTGATTTTTCACGTTATAATTAACTTATTTAGCCCTGGCCTCATTGACACGCCCTTCCAAATCACCGCTGGTATGTGCACAACGGAGAATCGCCAAGAGGTAAGAGTGATTTGGCCACTATTAAGTGCATTTTTAGCGCTTGGCCCCCTACATTGCGACATATCCGGTTGGAAGGTCAGGACAGCCGGAAGAGGTATGGTGAAACGAGAGAAAGAGAAAGAGAGTAAGAGAGAGAGCGAGCGAGAGAGACATGGAGAGAGCGAGAGAGAGAGAGAGAGATACATTTCCTAATTCAGATCGCCCACGCTGTCGTCTTCTTGGCGTCCCCAGAATCGAGCTTCACCACCGGTGCCATCCTCCACGTCGACGGCGCCCGAAGACTGGGCACCAAGATTGAATAGTAATTTGCAAAGTGTACACTTCAATAAATATCACGCACTTATACTTATAACTACATCGTATACGCAAGCTTCCCAATGACACCTGCGTTGAGTTGATGAGCAACGGAAGAGCGCGAGGAACGAGGAAGTGAGAATACGATAGATGCATCTGGGCAATTTTGCAGTAGAATATAGTGGAGAGAAAAAGACTATTGAAATTTTCTAAAGAAAGAAGTATAAAGAAAAGGTGAATAACTCATGATAGGATTGGTAAGAAGTAATAGAAGGATGAAATTTCAAGTAATCCTGGGGGAGGCAGGGTTGCAAGGGCCCTGAAGCTAACGAACGAAGTTGAAAGGCGGGATGAAGAACCCAATTAAACTCGCGGGTGATTTTAAAGGGCGAGGAAAGGAAATTGAAAAATTAAAAAAATGGAGTTAGAAAGCTCGTCTATATACTGTATTCGAACAATCTTTTACAGGTACGCCTACTAAAAAATTGCCAGTAATTCACCAAGAGACATTTTTAGAGGTTTCGGTCAATTATGTATTAGAGAAATATGGATAAGTGTACGCGCCTATATGAATCGACTTCTTTTCGTGAATCTTAATGCAACCGATACCCCGTTTAAACCAAATATCAACGGTAACCAATTATTGACCAAAATGAACAGCAAAATGGAAATCAACGATAATCCAGAAAAAGGCGGTTAAACCAAGAAAAACAACAATATGCGAAGACTAGGGATTCGATTTTTGTAAAATGTTGTAACTTGATTTATCAAACGGAAAAATAAAGTGGACAAAATGTAATAAGCAGAGAAAGTAATTTAAATTTTCGTTCGCTACAAACCACAACGCGTTTTTCATCACAAAACGAGCAAAACCTCCCCCCCACAAACCCAGCCTAGAGTCTACTTTTGACCTTTCAGGTGACAGAAACGGGCCCCATGTGTGCTTTTGGCTCGATTTCCGTCCAAATACTATCTGGTTTGTGCCCAAATCTCCGTTAATCCTCTGGCCGCAGCAAAATTCACGGGGGGAGTGGCCAAGGAGGGCAGAGACTGCACGGTCGGAAAATAGATAAAAGGAAGGGCAGACTGGAGTTGCAACACTCACCAAAACATCCAAAACTTCCTGAGAATAATATTCCGCTAAAAATGAAGGTCGCTATCGTTACAGGTTGGTTTGGAGTCTCTCTCGCTTATTTCTCCCTCGCTGTCCCTCTCTCTCTCTCTCTCTCTCTCTCTCTCTCTCTCTCTCTCTCTGTCTCACTCTTTCCATCGCGCTCTCGATGTCTCTAACTTTCTACTCTCTACTCTAACTTTCAAAACTTATGTTCCATTTTCTTGCTCACTTTTTCCTTCAGGAGCCTCTTCCGGTATCGGCCGTGCTACTGCTGTTGAACTCGCCAAGAAAGTGAGCTTTTTCACGATTTGAAAGGGCCTGGAAAGGCAAAATTTTGCTCATCCTCAAACCCAAAACCCGGAATCTCAGGGCTACGCCATCGCCATCACCGCCCGCTCCCAGGATGAGCTGGAGAAGACCAAAAAAGGATGCATCGACGCTGGATGCCGATCCGATAAGGTATGAACTGCTTGAACGTGATGGATTCGCGAATTTAGGTGATTGTGATCCCGGGCGACCTCACTGAAAAGGCCACCGCTGAAAAGGTTGTGGAAGAGACCGTCAGCAAGCTTGGAGGAATCGATGTGTTGGTCAACAACGCCGGGTTTGCCATCGCCGGAATGCTGTCGGGGATGCCGGTCGAAGAGTTTGATCGCCAGATGAATTTGAATGTTAGGAGGTGAGTAACAAGCCTAAACCTAAGCTTAAACCTAAGCCCGACTAAGCCAAGCCTAAGCCCATGCCCAAGCCTCAGCCTAAGCCTAATCTCATCTGAGTGGCAGCCTAACAGGCCCGTAAGAGGGGGAAGAGGGGCGAGCTGCCCCCCGAAATCGGCCGAAGGTCGAAAAGTACATTAGGGGGGACCCTTATGATTTAATTTTTCCAAAAAATTTTTTGCCTGCGGCGCTGTTTTTGTCTATTTTTAACACTAGTTTTAGTGTTATAAACCCTATGTTTTCAAAAATTTTGCCTGCGGCGCTGTAGTTTTAGTCCTATTAGTGAAAATTTTTTGGGGTCGCCCCCCCCCCGAAATCTGGGTTTGTTACGGCCCTGCAGCCTAAGCTCAAGCTCAAGCTCAGGCTCAAGCATAACCTACTCCCAAGCCGAAACCCAAGTCAATCTATGACTCGTGAAGGTCGGGTTCGCTTCTGCAAGATAACATAAATTACCGAAAATCGAAAGTTTTGACCAGGTTTTGGGATTCAAAATTTTTTATTGTGTCTTAAATTTAGGAAAAAGCGCTGTTTATAAGATTAAACAAGCGATTTATAGCCTTCACCAGCTCACCCAGCTTGCCCTCCCCCACCTCCTGAAGTCCCACGGAAATATCGTCAACATCAGCAGCGTTGCGTCGGAAATGACGGTACAATCGACAAGGCCGACAAAAATAAAACACGAATTTTCAGCAACCAGCAGCCGGGTTCTACTGCGTCTCCAAGGCTGCCCTCGATATGTACACCAAATGCATGGCGCTGGAGTTGGCACCCAAGGGCGTCAGGGTCAACAGCATCAAGTAGATGATCAAAAAGCTATATTTTTATTGAGAATTTAGTCCCGGTCTGATCGACACGGCTTTCGGGGTCAACGCCGGAATGTGTACGGAGGAGAACAGGGATGAGGTAAAGTTGGAAATCAGCTTCAAAATTTTCGTTTTAGCGAATGGCTCCTTACATTGCAGCCTATCCGATTGGCAGAGCTGGACTTCCGGAAGAGGTAGGAGTGAGAGAGAGATAAACAGAAAGAGACAGAGAAAATGAGAGAGAGCGAGTGAGAGAGCGAGAGCGAGAGAGATAGAGAGAGATAGAAGGAGCTTTAACTAATCCTTCGATTCAGATTGCCCACGCTGTCGTCTTCCTGGCCTCAACTGAATCGAGCTTCACGACTGGTGCCATTTTGCACGTTGATGGAGCTCGTCGACTCGGTACCCGGATCGGTTCGTAACTTTGAAGGTGTAAATGTCAATAAATATTACGAATTATTTTTGTAACACGACAAATCAAGGCTTTATTCATTGCACCTCATTTACACGAAGATCTGGCGTTTTAAATCATCCCGGCTTGTTGCATCTTCTTCACTAAAATCAAAGGGTTAGACTTTTAGACGTTGAGGAAGTGAGAGAAAGAGAGAGAGAAAGAGAAAGAGAGAAAGCAATAAACTACTCACATTGATAGATCATACTTGCCGAGCTTCTCCATAGCTTCAATGTTGACTTTGTCTGTAAACCGGAAATTACATAGGAACGTCATTTAGTTGTTTTCTAATGCCCAACCCAAAACGAACTTCCATCGCTAAATCTCAGCGACCATGTTTCGAGTCCGAGCCCAACGAACCGGAAACCCGGTGCCCCACCCTCACCCACCCAACGTATTCGCGTATCGCTTCGGCTCCTGGCGTGTTTGGATGAATTTGGAGATGGCCCGCCTGTCCATGCGTAAGAACGGGGGCATGATGGCTACTGAAATGGGATATGATTTTGAACTTAAGTCTCGTAAGCCTAAGGCTAACCCAAACATACACTTAAACCCAAGCTTCAGTAAGCCTAAGCCTAAGCCTAACCTAAGCCTAGACCTAAACCTAAGCCTAAGCCTAAGCCTAAGCCTAAGCCTAAGCCTAAGCCTAAGCCTAAGCCTAAGCCTAAGCTGATTCCTACGCCTAAGTCCAAGCCTGAGGCTAAGCCTAAGCACGCAAAGCAACTTACCAAATGGCCGCAGCTCTTCCTGCGCTATTTCTTGAGCTAGTAGAAGTACCGGAAGTAGCACCAATAGAGCGAATTGAATTCTTCTGCAGCTCATCTTGAAGTGGAATTTGAAGTTGAGAACCGGAGCCGAACTTCTTGAAATCCTCGAGATACCCTGGAATTTATAGCCGTTTCGGGACTTTGGCAGGTGTTTGGGCAGGACGTCTGAATGTGGGCGGTTTCCCCGAAATCGAAGGGGGTAGGCAAGTACGCAGGTAAAGGGCGCCAGCAGCAGCTTTTGGCTATTTCAGGCTATGGAGGAATAATTTGTTTTTCAGGAATCGCTGGAGCCTGGATTTTGCAGAGGGCGGAGGGGTGGATTTCAGCTGCCAGCGATCCAGAAATTGGGCTTGCAATTCAGGATTTGTGACTTATGCGAGACGAAAATTTGCAAGGAATAAAATTGGAATTTAGTGCAGTGCAAAATTAGCAGTACAGTACTAAAAAATGGGCTACGATGCAAAATCGGGAGACGAAGAACGGAATGAACGGAATGCCTTGAACGAGCAGTTCCACCTTTACATTAAAACTTCCAAAAGGTAAAACCCCAATAATACCGCAGCTAAATTCCGACAGCCGAAAGCTCGACAGCAGTAGTGCCGACAGCCGAAATCCCGACTGGCAAAATGTCGACAACTGAAATACCGATCGCTCAAATCCTCGGGATTCTTGTTGTCGGTTTTCTGGCTTTCGTGATTATTTTCGATGTCGGGCTCGCGGCTGCCGGCCTTGCCAGGTCGGTATTATAGATTTCGATATTACGGCTATCGACACGCGATAAAAATTCTAGCTAAAAATCAAAAATAATTGTTAAAAAAGCCACAAGGGACTTTGATATCAAGCTGAAACAAGATGGTGTAAAATTAAATATATCAGCAAAATTCCAGCCTCCACTTTCACGCCTCCAAAAGCCGCAGCCATTTTTTGCGCGGGTTCCGGCGGCCAACAAATTTTGGCCCCGCCCGAGGCCCTCCCTCGCCGGCCACACGAGTGGACTTCAGAAAAACGGATTTGGGTTGACGTGGTGCTAACGGGTTTAAACAAGAATAAACCTTGATCTTTCTTCAGCCTTAGCCTCTGATCTCGTGACTACATCCTCAGCAGTTTCCCAGTCGTCCTGATCCAGTATGGACTTAGTTGTCAGTTACAACCATCACAATAGTAGGTCGTCAGGGTGCCAACCTAGACGAGGGAGCCTGCAGAGCTGATGATACATCCAATTTAAGACATCATTCAGCGTCTCACACCAGCAAATTATATCAACTTTGACGATGATACAGCCGGATGTTTTCACCAATCGAGCTGGACATAAAGTTTCTCTCAGGTCGTTGAAGGCAAGACGACCTCTCTACTTGTTTGCTTTCTCACTATGAGACATCCAAATAATGTTGATTGGGATCCTTCTTGGTGCAAACAATTGGTCTTTTATCAAATTCAGTGGTCTGTCCAACTGAGCACTTAACCCTGAATGCCCTGATCTCATGATTTTCTTTAGCTCTTCCTAATCCTGAAAAATTGTTTCAGCCTCATGAAATATTTTCTGCTGATTGCAATCAAAGAGTCCAGTTGTACAGAATCCAATCCAAATTAGAATATAGTCAGTAAACCATTGATTTTATCAGTAAAGCCAAATGTAAGAATCCATAAACCAGCTGAACGGATTCAGGGGGTTAGCATCAAACCCAAATTGTTGAAACACAATCCTCTCTCTCTTTCCTGCCCCAAAAGCTGTTCTTTTTCCTTTCTCTTAAATATAGGTTGATTATCAGCATTGGGCTGACTAAAAAGCTGATTAAATGCAGAGCAAAATAGGTATATAGGGAGATAGAGAGTAGGAATAGAGAGTTAGAGATAGTGGTAAAGTTATAGAAGAGGATCGAGAGCAATGATAGTTAGAGAACGATGTGATAAAGAGAGGGGGCGGGAGATAGATAGAGTAGAGTGAGAATGATAGCACAGAGATGAAGATATATAAGAGAGGACAAATGAGGAGAGAGATGCAAGATACGAGATTGAGGTCTGATCTAAACTGTGTTTACCTTCCACGCTACACCTCACTGTTTGCAATCATACTGTCAAAGATTGAGAAGGATCATGAGGTGGTCGCCCTTGAGCTACCCTGATCCAGAACCAGAAAGAAAGATCCCATGCTCAAAGCTCGTTTGGGTAGAGTTCATTCACCAAACTGAGGGAATGTGATGAAAACTGAATTTGAAAATTGAAATATGAACTTTTCAGTTTCAAACCTGCAAACTAACGATTGGCAACAGCACGTGGCAAAGATTAAATGCACCACAAAACCAGATCTCCCATAATCTCATCCGTTTGAATAGGCAGATGATCCAAAGATATCATGCTGAGTTTCATGTTTCAGCAGTTCATAAAGTCGTTGAGGTACTGATCTAACTAGTCACACAAATCCAGCAGATGTAAGATTATGTTTCTGAGATAGCTTCCTTCTTTCTCCACTGAATATCACGCTGATCAAACATGCAGATCGATGTCTTCTTCTTATCGAGCACATGATGTCAGCTGAGCCCTATAAACGCCACTATTCCTTTATCCATTTTTTCAATCCAGGATCCTAGTAGGCAGGGCTGGGACGAAATTCTGCACTGCCCGGTGCCCCCAAACGCTTAAATGGCTAGTTTCTGATTAAACAAGAACGCCTTTAGAATTTGATGCAAAGATGCCTGGGAGGAGTTATATCTCTGACATGAGGTGAATGTAAGACTGCAACTGAACTCTGTGGCTGGATGATCTTACAATACGTTAGATCAGTGCAGAGCTCACAAAGAAATGTTAAAGCTCAAACTCCTGAATGATGAAACTGGCAGTGATATCTTTCTTTACATGATCGTATGTCGTTAACTCCACAAAAATATAACCATTGATCAGTCCAGATACAAAGTCCAGCTTCCATCATATTCTCTATCATATGAAGAATTAGTTTATTAGTGATGCTGAGTAGATCTGACACCTACACCAGAACCCTGTCTTTCTGATAATGACTCAAGATAGAATGAATAATTTTTTTTTTCTTCTCTCACCTCTCTCCTTCTTCTTCTTCCTTCTTCACCCTTTTCACCGATCATTATTCACTGATCCAGCTGGTTGTATCCTGATCAAAAAAAGGCTGAGAGTCAAAGAAAGACATCATTGTCACACCGCCTGATGATGTAGCCTTAGAGATACACGCAAACTCAATCCTCAATGTTTTGGGTGGACCACAATTATTGATTCTCACTATTTTCTCACACCATCCTTAAACTCAACAGATTGGGAAATGAATGGGGCTGGAGAGATAGGCTGCTGGTTGAGGGGTAGATCCAAAGATTATCCATGTGTGGTGCTGAATGTTTTTATTGTATCTTCTTTCTGGAAAAGCCAAACTAAACAAATGCCTGCTCTGAATCTGTGGAAACAGTGAAATGCAAAACTTGACATACCACTCTGATGCTGATGCCTCCGGTATTGTTTTCAAAACTGATTTTTTTCACAGAATCTTTGTTTTTCTTCATTTTCCTGTTATTGTATTAGTTTTCAACAATGGCGTGTCAAACTGGCTTTATGTATGATTTATGACACACTGTTTGAAAACTACAAAAATCAAAACCCATACAACTATGATTTTGGCATCGTCTGATATTAACTTCAAATATCTGTTATTAAAAACAGCAAGAATAAAGTTATATTGTAATGTTTCACAACGATTATGCAAGATTACAAATGTAACATGTTTGGCATCTCTTGCCAAACAGCTCAGCACTGTAATCGATCGATGTGCCTTATCACGAAAATGTGCCACGAAATTTGCCCTAATATAAACGATATAGGGATGATAATAATATAAAATCTAAATAATATTTTAAACTAAATAACAAAAATTAATACGCCACAAACCTCGAACAATATCGCTTGCATCTGTCCTATTCCCAGTTCCGGTAGCCAGTCGGCCACCAAAGCACCATCCTCCCTGATCCCCGACCGCAATCAACAGTGCCCAGGGTAATGCCCGGTGATTTACAGAAGAGCATCGAGCAGCGCAGCGCTTGGGGGCATTTTCTAAAGGTGAGCATGAGCGAGCGGGAGGATGATCGGGCATCTCCTCCCTCCACTCCAGGTCACAATCTCCCTGAGGATCTATGCTAATGGCGCGACGATGATCGCTTTATATCAGGGATCCGATTTTGCGTCTCCGCCTTTTTCGGAAGAGCTCCGTCCCGTCGTGCCGGAAATCGAGTCCAGGCCGGTTTTTATGAATTTTTATGGAGCTTCCGGGTGTCGGAGGAAAAGCTGGGGCAGAAAAGAACACCAAAAATTTAATTATGCCAAAGCCTAGGCCGCTGTCTGCTTGAGCTGAAGTACTGGCCGGTTATCGGCACTTCTATAAAATGCTACAAAAAACACAATCTTTTTTGTACTTTATTTATTAACCAATAGGCAAAAAGAAACAAGTTACTTCACCACGCGATGATACCCTCCACCCCCTAACAAACACAGTACTTACGACAAGCTTAGTTAAAACCTAGTGTAATCCAAGGCATAAGCCTATGCCTAACCCTAAACCTCAGCTTAAGACTAAGCTTACGCACCTCAGCTTAAGCCTGCCTCACTATAGCCAGCCCCAAGCGGATGCCTACGCATAAACCTCAGCTTCAGCCTAAGCCTAGGTTAAACCTAAGACTAAGCCTAAGCCTCCAAGCCCAAATCCAAGCTTAAGGGTAAGTCTAGCAAACCTAAGCCTAAGCCTACACCCAAAACCTAGCGCCAAGTCTGAGCCTAACTTTTCAAGCGTAATCTGAAGTAGAACACGTACCAACTCCCGGAAGAACAGCCCCAAGTTGACGATCATGATGCTGATGTAGCTAACCAAATATTTATGATTTTTGGTGCAAAAACGGTAGGCCAGATTATGTCTTGCTTTTTCAAAGCTAAATTCGGGCTTTCCCGAGTTGTGTGTGGAACAGGTATGACATCCACGTTGCCCCACTTTTGATTAAGCGATTCCCGATGGAATATTGGGTTTTTGAGGCCGATTCAGTGGTCACCGCTTTTTGTCGATTTTCGGCTTTTTTATTGGTGGTGGTTGATCTTCTCGCAGAGCAGAGAGTTATACGGAAAGACATTAAAAGTAAAAAGTAGTACAATTTTTAGTGCAAAATGCAATAAATATGGTTTTCGACTAAAAATGGCCGTTTTGATCAAAATTTCGATTTTTTGAAAAGTTTTGAAAGATTTTAAATCGTTTTTCTGATTGCAATATAGTTTATTTTTTAACCTTTTAAAAAATACCCCCTCATAAGTAAGTATAAGTTTTGAGATGCTACAAAAAATGGTCTCCCCCTCCCCCCCCAGTAATGCCAAAGAACCAAAAAAACCCTGGTCCTATTTCACGGTAGGGGAGGTTAGGCTGGGGAAGGTTTAGCTGTAGATTAACCTCTTTCTCTATTAGTTTATTGATATTTCTTTGGCTTTCTCTCCTCTCTCTCTCTCTCTCCTACACCTATCTCGTCCTCTCCCCTTTGCTCGTTTTCATATTCAGTTTCACAAGCCGTGGCAGTACACCCCGCTTTTTCGTCATTCGTAGCTTCTCGTCACCTTATCTTTCTTTCTTATCAATAAGAGGACGCAGATGCGAAAAATGTACGCATGGATACGTAGTTACGCAGGGGGCAGATGGGGGGTTGAAGGGGGCTGTCTGCCCCCAATCAATAACCCCCTCGACCCCCCATTGCCTCCCACACTAGCCTCACCCATTCCTCCCGCCAAAACAAACCACCTCCCCGATCCTGCATTTGCGCCTTTTTCGCACGTTTTTATAGGTTTCTCTTGTTTTTTTATGAATTTGCTGACTTTCATTATTAAAATCGGACTCTTATAATACAACCCTAAACTCATAAAACAATTGTAAATAGTATTAGCGTATCTCTCTCTCTCTCTCTCTCTCTCTCTCTCAACATGGCAGGTATTGATGGAAAAACAGAAGGTGTTTCCCCTTGCTAACCCCCCGCTACAAGTTCAGTACCAGTCTCTCTTGGTTTTCCCCGTTAGAAATAATTTAATTTTAGAAAATGCACACGGAAAATGCACACGTACACCATGACGGCCACCGCTGCAAACACCAGGAGCTGAAGCCGCAGGCCGTCGAGATGCTCATCGATTTGCTGATCGAGAACTGGGAAGTCTATCGGCAGGTAAGGCTTTTTAATTATTGCCGTTATAAAAGAGGTTTAATCCGACAGTTTTATGTTTTGTATTTATTTTTTTTTTGCAGATTTTTACAACTTTTTAACAAAACTTTAACACCTCCAGGTGCCGCCACCCGGCCAGCGCAGCTACAAGAAGCGGATGTGGGCCGAGTGGGCGCAGCAGATCTCGGATTTTGGCGTGCCGAGGGATCCGTTACAGGTAATATAGTCTTCATCGAGTAGTTATATAGAGAATTCAAAATAAATTCATTTTTGAAGGACTGGTTTGTTAGCGAGGGGGGGAGGGGAGATTTCTTGCGCGAGGGGGAAACAAGTTCTTGTTTTTCTGCCTAGACTTGCATGTAATTCTTATATTATGTGTTTTTATAGCGTTTATATTTAGTAATGTTTGATTGCGGAAAAGTTATAAAAAATATTTTTTAAATTTTTTGAAACTCCGAACTCGAGAATGTTTATCTTTTTTCGGCCATTTTTCATACATTTTGACCAAACACCAAAAAAATTTCGCGCATTTTTATTATTGTCTATAGACTATTTTATCTAAATACTACATTGAATTGTGAAAATTCGAAAATTTTGATCTTTTTTAGCGATTTTTCATACATTTTTGACCAAAAGTCGGAAATTTTCGAAAATTTTGTATGATTCGTTATAAACTATTTATATCAAAAAACTACGTCAAATGCTATAAAAATGATGATAATTTTGTTATAAGGCCGTATGGAATTACTAGGGAAAGTTCTCCACCCCACCCCCCCCCGCTAAGAATCAAGGTCCAGATTGTCTTAGATATTGCACTTTTCATCCCCCAAAAAAACGTTAATGGGAATTCGAGAGGAAATGCGCACTTTGTAATGCGTATTTAATACAAAAGCTAACTTTCCGCTTCTCCAGATCAAGCAAAAGATCCACGGCGAGCTGCGGATGGTGCGCGAGCAGCTGATGAAGGAGCAAAAGTGGCGCGCGCAGGGCCTCGTGTTCGCCCCGTACACCAGCCCGCGCATCCATCGCCAGAAGCTCTACGACTTTTTCGTCACGAGAAACATTGAAGAGTTGAAGCCGCCGGAGCGAGGTAGGGCTTGTTTTTATTTAATTATTATCTCCTATACAAAATTAAACAGGAGAAATAGGTTGTCGAGCTTATCCCATCCCCGCTAAAAGCAAAGCTCCGCGGTTTTTATCGTACTTTTGACCTTTTTTCGCTATAGATGAGAACCAGCTCGACGTCGCCGCCGATAGTGTACCCTCGCCATCTCCCGGTTCTATGAACTACTTTGAGGACGTTAAAAATGTGCCGTCGATTAATGATTTCTTGATGAATGAATGTAAGTGAGGGATATTTCTTGTTTTCTCTCTCTCACTCTCTCTCTCTCTCTCTCTCTCTCTCTCTCTCGCTCACTTTATTTCTCTCCTCACTGATGCCGCTCTTCTCTCCCTCCCTCTCTCGCACTCTCTTTCCCATGCACAAAAGGAAAAGAATCACTTTAGATGTCGACAGTCCAAGTCCCGCGGAGCCGCAACTTTTCGGCACCAATGGCAAGAAGCGCAAGGCCCACGATTTTGACGAGTCCTCGATTGATAACTATCAGACCAGTGAGCTCTTCTAGCCCTCTACCGCATGAGTGAGAGAAAGTGAGGGACGGGGAGGAAGCGAGAGAGAGAGAGAGAGAGAGAGAGAGTGCAAAAAATAGTCATAAAAATTCAACGGTTGATTTTGCCTTTCAGATGCCACGCAAGGGGCCCTCGACGACCTGCGGCGCATGGTGTTAGAGGAAAAGCTGCGCGTACAGCGTCTGAAGGCCCGGAAGCTCGAGTTGGAGATGGAGAACGCCACCAAGCAGGGCTTCCTCATCGACCGACAGCTCGACGCGCAACGCGGCATCAACCGATGAGGAAGCTTTATAGCGAATTACTTCTTGGTTTAACAGTGCGGGTAGATTTTCATTTTTTTTTTACTGATGGTTTGCTTTAATAAATCGTGGTTTTAAAAATTTAGACTGCACCAAATCTTCGTTAAACCTTGCTCGAGAAATCCGGTTAGGCTTAGGCCTGGGCAAGCTTATGTTAAAAAGAAGGAGATGTTTTTGAGCAATCGTCGGGGACTTTTCACGGGACCAGATTTGTGCAGAATTTTTGCTGATTCCGAATATGGTAACCGTTTTTGGAGAATAGCCATTTCTCAAAAGCATGAACGATTTAAACCTCAAAATAGCCCAAAATCGGCTACATCCGATGATAAAGGCTTCGAATAGGTGACAGACAAAACCAGATAGTGCATCTTGTTCAGAAAAAAATTCTCTATAAGATAAGCTACTTAACTCAAAAATGTTCGAATTTTGAAAATTTTGTAAAATTAGGGGGCCTCCCAATTTATCAAATTTTTCTAACTTTTAATGTTGTTGGAGAAGATGGTACATTTTATAGATAATTTTTTTCTGAACAAGATGCACTATCTGGTTTTGTCTGTCACCTATTCCGAAGCCTTTTATGACCATCGGATTTAGCCGATTTTGGGCTATTTTGAGGTTTAAATCGTTCATAACTTTTGAGAAATGGCTATTTCGCAAAAACGGTTACCATATTCGGAATCAGCGTAAAATTCTGCACAAGATAGGCTTGGTCCCGTGCCAAAGTCCCGAAGACACTCAAAAACGTCTCCTTGTTAGGCGTAGGGCTTCAGTTTAAGCTTATGCTTAGGCTAAGACATAGTTTTGCAACGCGCTACACTCCTTGACGTCTTTACATTGAAAGATAAGCCACATTTGAGTGCATCACCGCTAAAAAGAAAGAATGATTCATGATTCATGTCCCAACATGAAGCCGAAGAAACGTTAAAATGTTTGCGAAGAAGGATGAGGGCAGAGATAAGGCGAGAAAAAGCTCTTCCGGCTCGACCACCCACCCGAATCTTTTGGTTTTCATTGCTGCAAGGCTTGCCAAAAAGCTCTGAACTTTTTCTTCTTTTTCAGAACCCTGTTCTCCCTCGGAAGCCGATCTAAAGGAAAATGGCCGAGTTCTGGCAGTGCTGCTGTTTGATATTTTCGCCGGTTTGTCATTTTTTTTTTGAAAAAGGATTGTCTAGAAACTTGAAAAATTACGCATATCTGAAAACAAGACTCAGTTTTAGCCTATGACCGTAGCCCTGGCAACCGGTGACGGCAAGAAGATGTGCATCGCCACGCTGCTCACGATGCTCTTCTACATCCCGGGGCTTATTTATGCAATTAATGTGCGTTGTAAAATATAGCCTAATTAGTCAAAAAATTAAAATGAATCACTTTTGGGGGTTTCTTAAAAGACTTGCCTTGGTAGAGGCGGTACTATTTTTGTATTTTGACCTTTAATTAGGCTTGTTGTTTAAGCCTGCTTAAGCCTGAGCCTGAGCCTAAGCCTAAGCCTAAGCCTAAGCCTAAGCCTAAGCCTAAGCCTAAGCCTACGCCTAAGCCTAAGCCTAAGCCTAAGCTTAAGCCTAAGCCTAAGCCTGCCTAAGCCTAGGCCTAAGCCTAAGCCTAAGCCTGCCTGCCCAAGCCTGCCTGGGCTCTCCAAGCCTGCCTGCCCAAGTCTAAGCCCAAGCCTGGCTCTGCCCCAAGCCTAAGCCCAAGCCCACCTCCAGCTTCCAAGCCCAGCCCAGGCCAGGCCCAAGCCCTAAGCCTAAGCCCAAGCCCAAGCCCAAGCCTGCTTCCAGCCTAAGCCTACGCCAGCCTAAGCCTGGCTCCAGCCTCCAGCCTAAGCCCAAGCCCGCCTCGCCTGCTGCCGCCCCAAGCCTCCAAGCCCAAGCCTACGCCCAAGCCCAAGCCTAGCCTCCCAGCCTCCAGGGGCCCAAGCCTGGCCTTAAGGCCCAAGCCTAAGCCCAAGCCCAAGCCTAAGCCTGCTTCCAAGCCTTAGCCTAAGCCCAAGCCCACGCCTACAGCCTGCTTCCAAGCCTAAGCCTAAGCCTAAGCCTGGCCTAAGCACGTGTTTCGCTTGGCTGTTGGAAATAACTAGATACAGTTCCTAGCGCTTATTTACTACTTTTATCTTCTATTTCATCTCTCTCCACCATACCCTTCCAGCAAATGAACGAAGGTCGATGATCGAGGTGAGAAGGAGAGAGAGAGAGCGACTCGGATAAACATGTTTTTGCTAAATGATATCGACCTTCCAAGTAGAACTCGCTCCTCGACGCGAAAAAATACGGATTTGAGTTCCACTCAAGCTTTACCCTTTGAATCCCCCGCCATCACCACCCATTTCACTACAATATGTCGCTAATCTCTTATTTCACGCTATTTTTGGCATTATTTTTTGTTGGTGAGTTGTTTTGAATAAAGGGTTAATAGTTGCAAAACGACCGTATTGGTTATATTTGTTTTACACCTTAAAAACAAAAAAATTTACATCACTATACAAGACGTTTTTAAAGAGGACGTCGCTTTGTAAAGAATTTTTTTTATGACGAACAGTAGTTGAAAGGGCACAAACTGTAAACAGCTCAAAAATGTTAAAATGATAGGAATATTGTTAAGCTACTATGAATCCTGAATGTAACAATATGCTATATAAAGCTATTTCTGAAATTATATAAGCTTCAGGCCTCACCAACGCTTTCTCGAAGCGTCTCGCCCCGGGAAGCTCATATCATCGCCGATTTATGGATGAGCCCAATCGACTTTTTAACGATATTTTCCCTACGCTTGAATAAATTATTATAATTCTTCAATTGTTGTGAACAAAATTCAATTTTTCAATTTTCAATGAACAATATAGTTTGCTCTTTCTCTGACTTTCGCTATCTCATCCTCTCTCTCCCTTTCTCCCTCTCTCTCCCCCTCTCCCCCTCTCTCTCTCTCGCTCTCTCTCCTCTCTCTCTCTTTCTCTCTTTGTCGAAAATCTGCCAGAGATCGAAAACGCTTTCCACATTGTGTTGACTGTTTTCCGAGAATCTTCTGGGAACCAGTTTTCAATGCCGCCATCAGCAAGACACGGCAGGCGTTGACCTCGCCCATCGGCTCACCTTGACCATCTCTCTCTCTCTCTCTCTCTCTCTCTCTCTCTCATTCTCTCTCTCTCTGTCTCCCTCTCTCGCTCTCTCTCTCTCTCTCACTCTCCCGCTCCAGCTTTACCTTGACCAGACCACAGCTTGTTCAGCTACCTGTTCTGGTTCAATTAGCGGTCCAAAAGGCTCCGTCTCGAGAGTACTGCCTAATCCAATGGACACTACCGAACCGGGGACTTGCCAACGGGATTCCCGGCTTCCATATAAGCAGCCAATGGCTGAAGCTCGAGGCAGGTTTGCTACATGGCCACGTTGTATTTTGTAGTCGTGCTATTTTGTGGATGGCTTTTGGATAGTAGTGTGGCGGTGGATGGTAAGTTATAGTATTTCTCAGAGTGGCAATATTCGGATTCGCGAACGTTTTTGAGACTCTGAATTTTACAAGCTTCTACAGCCTGAAAACGTTTTTATAAGCATTGAATAGTTCTTATTTGTTATTAACTAGGCGTTTATTGTGCAAAAAAAAAGATTTTTAGAAATGTTTTAATTTCAGAAGTTTAAGAATGTTTTACACTTGAAAAGCCGACAAACAATTTTACAACAAATTCGTAAATCCACTGTCTATTTGTACAACTTTATTGCAGCGAATTCAACAAGTACAGCCTTGCCGACGTCATCGGACAGTGCAACTAGAATAGAAAAACTGAGAGAAGAAAACATCAAAAAATTGAATATTACTGAAGTAAGTTAGGTACCCTAAAATACACGAAAATCAAAACACAAACCCCGGAAATCGACCCCTTTCAGCTACTAGGTCTCGACAGCTACGTGTTAATACAAAAAAAAAATCCAAAAACTGCAACTTCGACAAGACCTAGTCTAACTAGCGGTTGTCCGGCGCGTAACAATGTACTTCAAATTTAAAAACGGAGTTTTAGAAAGCAGGCCACGAGCTCTTTCAATATTGGAGCGACCAGGGATTCTCGGCTCTATTTGCGACGTTGGCTGAACAAAAGTAAGCATCAACAATGTGATTAATTAAACCCCAGACTAGATTAAATGATTTATCGAAAAAAAGAGCGCTCCCTACACCATCAATGCAGTAAAAAAGCGCGTTCCGTCGAGGCGCATGCAAAATGTGTTGCAACGTTGCTCAAGCGGCATCAGAAGATTTTGAAGAAGAGGGCGGAGAGGGATAGGATTAAGGTGAGTAGCTGTCTTTCGCTTTCACTCTCTGTCTCTCTCTCTATCTTTCTCTAGCTTTGCCTCTCTCGCCCTTCTCTCTCTGGTCCTCTGCTCTCTCTTGTCTCTTCGCGGTTGTGCATAAGTCTCAATATCCCATTTTTTCAGAATTTGAAACAACCCGATCCTCGCTGTGGCTCGAAAAATCCTCCCTCCGATTGTCCTCACCGAGAAAGAACTATTTGCAACAACAACGACGACACCAAGCAGTACATCTGCTTCAACCACTAGCACTACGACGATGGGTGCTCCTTCCAGTTTTGCCGTAAAATCTAAAAAGAAGAATTTGCTATCCAAGATTTACACCATCAAGCGCAATAACTTGAAGACCAGGAAAATTGCTGCTCGATACAGGTCGTTGCCTTGTATTTTTTCACCACCTTTAAAAATAACTTTGTTAATCAAAGTTGCCTTTAAGAAAAATTCGGCGTGGGTTCCCGAGACGTCATCAGAAGAAGTACTATCGACACCGGAAATTCTGGAAAGACAACATGAGTTTGAGACGTGTGAAGCGATACGTGCAACCGGTAAGGGGTGGCGGATCTCTCTTTCCCTCTCTGCCTTTCTCTCTCTCTCTCTCTCTCCTTCTAGTCAGCCTAAGGACCTTTTAGCCACGAATCCGCCAATCCGAACACTACGCTTTGCTTGACACTCCAGATTTGACGACGACGGAAGCGCCGATTCAGAAGGTTAGTAAAAGACAAAAATATGAAAATAGTTTTTCTAGGTCGGCAACATCCTCAGCAAGATCACCGAGATTCTGAAGATTGCCAAGAAGAAGCCGCTGCAGGAGAAGAGGTGAGAGAGAAAGAGAGAGAGAGAGAGGGAGAGAGAGCGGAGAGAGGGTGGTTGAGGGCGAGAAATCAAATTTATTAAAGCTATAGCTTATTTCTTTTAGCTGGCAAGAGCAGGTGGCAGAAATTCGATCGGCAGGAGTCAGGTTGAAACAGAAGCAGCAGAAGAGGTCAGTCCGAAAACGATAGTGGGCCCACGTTTTTAAGAGAAAAATTCAACAAGCGCCTCAACTACCTGCACGAGATGATCGGCGAGATGCAGAACGAGGTGATGCAGCCGTTGGAGCTGATGGTGAGGAGCATGAGAGCCATTTGAACAACACTTTTTAGGGCCTACTCGACGAGGAGAGCGCCAAGCAGTTCGAGGCGTCGCAGATTGACGATGTTGTTCCGGGTATGGTCGACTTCAACTAGGCGTAGCTTCAGCTCCGGCTTAAGCTACGGCCGAAGCTCAAGCTCAAGCTCAGGCTCAGGCTCAAGCGCAAGCACAAGAAATCCAATACCTTAGGGACGAGCGACTACGGTGGACGCTACAAGGACCTTCCCTTCGGCACCACTGAACGTCCGGGAGATTTTCACGACTCGGAAATGTTGGCGTCACCTGTTCGACTTGTTCGTGATGGTTAGTCCGGAAAAATTTGGGTTAAAAATCCGAAATTAGGGATTAAACTCCTGATGTCGATGGCGGGAAAAGATACAACCCAATTCGACCGCCAGAATCTGAAGCTATTCTCCCCGAAGCTGCTTGAATTATCGCCTGATGAGAAGAGGGATGAGGTGAGAGAGCGAGCGAGAGAGGGAGAGCCTATGCACCATTTTAGGTGGCCGTCTTCTCACCAAAGCTCTTCTCCATGCACAACCAAAGCTCCGATCCGATCGAGCGGGCTTTGAGCGTACAGGTCTGTCAGGCTTCGGAGATACTAGTGTACTGTAGCGTAGCATGGCGTAGCGTAGCGTGACGTACGCTGCCGTACCGAATAGAAACATAACTAGGTCAACGCTAGCCTCGTAAAACAAGGAGCCTAATATTCCTAGAATCTCCTCTCCACCGCCAAGTACAATCAACACCAAAAGTTGCTAGACTTCATCCTGGAGGCGTCCGGGGTCAGCGACGTCATTGGGACGATGGCGGTAGGTTTTCAGGAATTAGCTTGGCTCCAAAACTAGAACCCAAAGAAACCGGAGACTTGCTTCAGAACATGGAGAAGATCGAGGACACCAAGGAGTTCGGGCGGCTTGACCCACGTGCTTTGGGAAATCCAGCACTGGCCGAAGAACTTCACGAAGGTCGAATGCAGGCAGAAAGTGCTCCGGAAAGCGATGGGCTAGGTAATTTTATCTCGCTGTCGCACTCTCTGTCTCTCTCTCCCTCTTTCTCTCCCTCTCTCTCTCTTTCCCTCACTCTCCCTCTTTCCCAGCAACCATTTTCTAGACGAAATCATTGCCAAGGGAGTGGATATGGATAGCCTAATAAACGCCGTCGACGACACCAAGCAGTTCAAAATTCCGGTATTGCTTTGGTCAGGTAAGTAAGGTTCATTAGGGAGAAAACGGAAGTGAGATCCACATCTCAAAAGCCGAGATCAGGAGGTTTTACGGGGAGCTCGAGGTGAAGAAGGTCATACTGTTCGAGATACTTCATCACTCCTTCACGAAGAAACAGGTAGGAAACCCAGTCGTCACTCTCTCTTTCTCTCACTCTCTCTCTATCCTCTCCTCCAGATGGAAGACTTCCAAGACCGAGGCCGCTCCACCCTCACCTCAAACCAACGACGTCTTCTATACGGTCACGGCAGCCCATATCAAAATATAGAAGCTCTGGAGGCCATGGATCGTGTTGAGGAGCATGAGGTATATTTTCTAGCCTTCATTTGAGCATAAAATCAGGTCGAAAAATTCCTGGAGCGTACAGTACACGACTTGGCAATTGACGGTCGGAAAATGACGGTCAGACATGGAAAAATGGCGATTGAAAATGGGACGGTACGGTAGATCATGTGTTTTCGAGAATCTTGCGATTCAGAAGTCTGATGTGGCTGAAGAGGTGGCGAAGGAGTCGGGGACGTTCCTGGTCTGCGCTGAACTTGCTGATGATGGGTGCAAGACGCATGATGTGTAGGTTTCGAGGAGGAGAGAGTAGAGAGAGTGAGAGAGAGACAGAGAGAGAGGGGGAGCGTGAAAGAGAGACGGAGATGGGAAAAGCGAAGAAAATATGCTTTTTCCGGAAAACCAAAACCAAAGATACTCCAACTTGGTTGCCGTGTTGTTGCTGTCTCCGGAATCGAGTTCGAGCAGCACAGAGGCACTATAAATTTTTGAGCAGCTAGAACCTCATGTAAAGTTAATCCCTAACTGTAGCCCGCCATAAAAGAAGCCGCTCCGTGGGAGGGAAACTGCGAGATGTCAGGTCACTCACTTTCCTCAAACTGCTGCCGCCACATCGTCCATGCAGCGTGTGCAAGCGATGGGTCAGTAGCTGAACACCCCTGAACGTCTGCATCTTCTTCTAGGGGATCGCCTTGACGCCGTTCGTTTTCACCCCTGTAGTCGGGCTCCCCGCAGCCGCCTCACAGCCATTCATCCTGTCGCCTATCATCTTCTCGCCCTTGATCTTGTCCCCGAGCGTCTTCGGGGCGTCAGGTGATTTTAAAGGGCCTGGAAATTCAAAGAAAAGTGGCTTTAGTGCTCTCGCCGTTTATCTTCACACCGTTGATCTTGTCGCCGAAAGCTTTGGGGCCGATCATTCTCTCGCCCGCCCTGTTCGACCCGTTGATCATCTCCCCATTGGTGTTGTCGCCGATTAGTAAGGTTTTAAGGAGTGAGATAGAGAGAAAGAGAGAGTAGAGGAGGAGAGGAGAGGAGAGGAGAGAGAGGAGAGCGAGCGCAGGAGTGAGAGGAAGAGAGACGGAGCGAGTGAGAGAGAGTGAGAGAGAGATAGAAAGAGACAAAGAAAGAACGAAAACTTTTCAATTTAGTTGTAAATCCGGGCTGTGGAGTACCAATTATCCTATCGCCGTTCGCCCTCACGCCCTTCATCGTTTCGCCACAGGTAGGAGGAGGTGTAATTTTCAAAACGCAGCGACAACGTAGTTCTGAAATCGTTTCCGATTACGGCATCCATATGCAAATTCAGGTGATGACGCCGGTAATCCTGTCCCCAATCTGCCCTCTCCCCCATCATCCTCACCCCGATGTCGCTGACGCCACTGATCTTATCGTAAGTTACCATGGCCGATGGGATGGCCTAGCTATCATTAATACCTAAACGATACCTTGAGAAGAAGCGGAGTAGCAAGCGACTTTAAAGTATTTCCGTTTCAGCCCCTTCGTTCTATCACCGATTATCCTGTCTCCATCCTACGTCGGTGGGCTATTCCTCTCGCCGTCTGCGCTTTCGCCGGGTATCCTGTCCAGTGTAAGTTTGAAAAGCTAGAGAGAGAGGGAGAGAGAGAGAGAGAGAGAGAGGGAGGGAGAGAGCGAGAGAGCGAGAGAGAAGGGTAGAGAGTGATGGAGCGAGAGACAGAGCAAGAGCGAGAGAGAGAGAGAGCAGACCAGAGAGAGAAAGACATTCAGGGCACCATCTTCACCGCTGTCCTGTCGCCGTCGGTGTTGAGTTAGAAGCCGATCGAACCTTAAAGTGTAAAACCGATCTCATAGCATTTATGGAGCCGCGCATAATAATATCTTTGAATAAATGATTTAAAATACTTAGGAAATACAGGATTTACTCTAAAATACAAGTGGTTTTCAACAGCTTCAATTTCCGAGCTTTTCGGGCTTCTAAAGTTAGTAGTTAGAGGTTTTAGTGTAGTTTAGCGCTATCTGTTAGATCGACAAAAAACCAGCCTTGGAACACCTCCCAAGATGCTAATTTGTTTGCCTTGTTGCTCCAACAGGTCGGCCTTCCCCAAAATCTCGCCAGACCATTGGCCCTAGTGACTAGACGACTTTCGGGAGGTACGAGTTCGTGGCTGGTAAACCTTGATCACTAATCTTCCTACTTTCACACCGCTAAGTAAGCAAACTCACTGTGCTACCGTAATCCTGGACATCACAGGCTTGATTCCTGTATGAAATTCCGCTACTGGATCGTATTATATTGCATTGGTGCGGTTAATATTTGTCTAGGTCAGCTTGCAAAAACAGTTTTTGGCAAATACTTGTTCAGCGACTTCAACAAGTTCAAAAGTAACTCCGCGAAGAATTGAAGAACTTCAGGAGCATTATATTCGCAGGATTAATATTTCGGAGGTAAGGAAATATTGGTTTTTCATGTCGGTTTTCATCGAAACGAAAATAGTTTTTCAGCATGCCGGCCACGAACTCCACCAATACTGGACGGAGCAAGGACTGTCGGCTTCTTTGCTACGGTAGCAGAAGAAAAGTAAGCTCGTTAGGACCCAGATCGGCTTTAGTAAATAACACAGATTTCCTGGCTTCTAAAATAAGCAATTTCAGACTCTCAATCCTCTCCAAAAAAGAGCGCTCCCTCCACCACAAGTGCGCCAAGGCTGCCAGGAGTGTGGAACAACACGCCAAATGCGTCGCAAAACTACTCGATCGCTACGACCGGATCCTGAAAAAGAGGGCGGAGATGAAGAGGGAGCTGGAAAAGATCGAGAAACTGAAGGAGGCTATTCTAAAAGATGGGAAAAGCACGAAAAAGCACTTGCCTGGATCACAAAAAGCACGGGGCCGAAGGTAAATCTCCTGGAAAATGAATGTGGATTTTTTTAAGAAAATCAATCTTCGGACGGCGGCGAAAAATCTATACTCCCAAAAAGTTCAGAAGGAAGAAGCGAACTCGGACAAAAAGGGCGGTCCGGCAGGTAGGTACGGTACTACGTAGTAGTACGTAATAGTACGGTTCCGCGAATACGGTATGTTGATACATCCGTTGCGTTCTGTTTCTCTCCATTAAAATGGTAAGTGTGGTACCTTAAAAAAGTAGCGAACTGGGTTACGGTAAAAATGAAGCCTTTCATTTAGCACATCCGGTACTCGAAGCATTTCGAGTTGAAGGACACCCCAGATACCGCCGTCAATAGACCACCAATGGAAAAGGCAAGCAAGAAAACGAACTTTTCAAAATCGGCTTCTGCTGTCGATATCCTTTTAAATTCAAATTGGAAGCAGTTTTGCATTTTTATATCAAGGGGAAGTACAAAACACAGCTCTGTAAAAGAATTTTTAGATGGCCAGCTGCTTAACTTCATTTCTAGGTAGGAAAGCTCCTCAATAAAGTATCACATCTCATCAAGTTGGCCAAGAATAAGCCGGTCAAGGACCGAAGGTAAAACCTCCCGCTTCTATTAGCACGCTATTTAGTTGGGAAGAAACTGTGGCCGAGATCAAGGAGATCGGCGCAAGACTGAAGGCCAAACAAGGAAAGAGGTAGGCGAGCGAGAGAGAGAGAGAGAGAGAGAGAGAGAGCGATAGAGAGATGATTCCTATACAATTTAGAGAAAAGCTCAACAAACAACTGAACTACCTGCACGACGTCATCAGTCAGATGCAGAGTGATGTTGTACGTCCACTGGAGACCATGGTAGGGTTTATTCAAGCATTACGGTGCTTTACTATGGAAAAGCGTTTATTAAAAAAATCGAGAAGTAAGTCGTCTGAATCCATACCTCTAATGCCACAATTCAGGGACTTCTTGAAGAAGGTCAAGCATCAGAGCTGATGCGGTTTCCGACATCGAATTTTGGTAAGTTTTGGATCTCATTATTTAGATTTTTCTGCAATGGGACTAGCCCTTTAATTTCAGCCAAGTCCCCAGATGACATCCCGGCTCCGGGAAATGGCAACGACAAGACCGAGGGGTCTGAATTCTTGGCTTCACCCGTCAAGCTAGTCCGGAGAGGTAAGCCCGAAAATTACAGTAATGCTCCAAAATGTCGATATTTTTACAAGACTTAAACTAAACTTAAAAGACAAGACAAATTTTAGGAATTAAACTTGCCATGACGCTGGCCGGAAGGGACACCCGGAACTTTGAACACCAGAACCTGAAGCTATTCTCCCCGAAGTTGTTCGAGTTATCGCCAGATCATGACAAAGAAGAGGTCAAAGATTATTGCGATGAATTTTTCGAAGCTTTCTGGTGTCACGATCCCTTTAAAACCAAGTTTCTAGATTTCCTTGTTCTCCCCCAAAACTTTTAACAGTCCACAATGAGAGCAGCGATCCGGTGGAGAAGGCGTTGAGTCTACAGGTCGGGAGAAAATTGATGTCAAAAATTCAAGGCTGAACTTGTAGAACTTGCTTGGCAGAGGAACTTCCGAAAAAAGACGAAAACACGCATCAAAATCTGCTCGATTTCATCATTGAAGCCTCCGGGGTCAGTGACGTCATCTCGACGATGGCGGTGAGTTTAAAGGGGTTAGAAAGCACTAAAACACTTTTACTTCGAGGTCTCCGCAGTTGTAAGAGGGTGGTGCTCATTGATTTTTAGGCAGTCGAAAAGCTAGAAGACACCGAGCTGAGCGCACGGCTCGATTCTCGAGTCCTAGGTGATCCAACTATGACCGAAAAATTTCGCGACGGCAAGGAGAAGCCGGTAGAAGCGCCAGAAGAGGACGGTCTAGGTCGCTATTACATCAACTGCCGAACTCTTACTTCACTTTAATCATAAAATCTGGATTTATAGAGGAAATCCTGGCAAAGGGGCTTGACCTTGACAGTATGATCGAGGCAGTAGACGACCAAAAAGTCTTCCGATTACCTGGAGAAAACGGGACCGAGATCCAGGTGTCCAAGAAGGAGATAAGAAGATTTTTTGGAGAAGAGGAGCTTCGGAGGGTGGTCATATTCGAGTTATTTCTACACTCTTTTACACGACAACAGGTTCGTTCGGTCAACTAATTTTGGGTGCGTTTCAACGTCTTGAAGTAGTCGGACTGACCGAAGTTGATCATTTTAGATGGAAGACTTCTCCGCCAACGGGCGAACGATTTTGACAAAAAATCAACAACGTCTACTTTACGGTCCCGGCAGTCCATACAAAAATGAGCAAGCACTGGAAGCGATGAGCAAGATGGGGCGGGAGGAGGTCAATTCTAAAACGAAGTGCCGAACCTCCAGAATTTTTCAGATGAAGCAGCTAGTCGAACGTACAGTTCGAGATCTGGCGGTAGATGGCCGAAAAATGGTATTACGTGACGGGCTGATGAGCATCGAGACGGGGCAGGTTGGTGACAATTTATCGAAATGTGGTATTAGCGACTAAAATAAATATTATGTCGTATCTTTACGTTGTGTTAAGTAATTGCTGCGTCGCGTGCGTATTCAGTACGTTTGCGTACCATGAAAACCCACAGCTACAGGCCAAACACAAATTCCAGAATGATACGACGACGTCAAATGAGCCAGAAAACCAATCCGGAAACTTTTTGATCTGCACCGAAATGGGCAAGGATGGAGAGTGCCAACGTCATGATCAGTACGTTAATATGAATAACCCTAGGCCAAGCTCGAGCGAAGCCTAAGCTAGGTCTCAGCATGAGCCTGAGCCTGAGCCCAAGCCAAGGAAGTCGGCTGTTTTCAGAATCCCCAAGAAGCAAGCCGTACCCTGGGACGAAACTCCAGAGTACCGCAAACATCTTCTGAGTCTGAACCGACGGCATGTTGTTCACAAGAGAGTCAAGCGATGGGTAAGCCTAAGCGTAAGCCCAAGCCTAAACCTAAGCCTATGCCTAAGCCCAGCCAGAGGCCTAAGCCTAAGCATAACTTTAGGGCTTCGTCTTGACGCCGTTCGCCTTCCTTCCGGTCGTCGGCCTCCCCGCACTGGCCTCCCAACCCTTCATCCTCTCCCCTGCCATCTTCACCCCGCTCGTGCTCACCCCTACCGTCTTTGGGGCCTTTGGTAGGTTGAACTCCTTAGTTCGAAAATTCCGCTACAGTACTCTCGCCGTTCATCTTCACCCCGTTCATCGTCTCGCCGAAAATCCTGGGACCAGTGATATTGTCACCATCCGTTTTCACCCCGATCATCCTCTCGCCGCTGGTGATGAACCCGATTGGTACTCTATTTTTGTAATGTGGCATTAGCGCGAGTGTTAGATGAACTCCCTGGCGTCATTATGCCTTTAATTCCAGTCCTAACGGCTGGATGTGGACTGCCGATCATCCTGTCCCCCTTCGTGATGACGCCCTTCATCTTGTCGCCCCAGGTTTGCGGCTTATCAATGCCGGTGGCCGTACAAAAAAAAATAGTGCTGCGGATCCCCAAGAATGCCAACAACTTGCTTAGGATATGTATCATGCCCGAAAAATTTTAATGACCTTGTCCGTATCGAGAACGATTACATGTTGGTATGACGCCTTCGAGGAGTTTTACAGCTTGGTCTAAAACTATGTTATTTTTAATGCGCATTCCCTAAATTACGTTGATTACAGGTGATGACGCCCGTAATTCTCTCGCCCATCTGTCTCTCTCCTATCATCGGAACACCAATGTCACTGACCCCACTTATCCTATCGTAAGTATTTTGGGTCGGATTTCGGTATTCTCAGTCAAAGCTAAAAATTCTATAACCAATCCGTGGTGATTTTTGTGTTTAAAAGCAACGTGAGGGCACAGATACCGTTTGAAAAGTCCTTAAAACGAGTAACTTTCAGCCCCTTTGTTCTCTCGCCCATCATCCTGTCCCCTTCCTACGTCGGTGGTCTCGTCCTCTCCCCATCAGCCCTCTCGCCGGGTATCCTCTCCAACGTAAGCTACCCTGTCTCTTTAAATGCAAATTTTCTAGGGAGCCATCTTCACCTCGGTGCTCTCCCCTTCTGTACTCAGCTGAGAAATGGCTTAGAACGCATCTTAGACACCGATAAAAATTGTGTTAAATATTTATCCAATTTTTTCTCATCGGCCCATTCGACTCAGCAACTGAAAAAAGCAACAGAAATACCGTGATTTAAATAAGAATTATTATGGCCACGTTAAAAAGTAGCAAAACGCGTCCTGTAGTTCTGACAAACGTCAATTAAAACCCAAAACCTCAAACCGCAATCCGCAAGCAGACGAGTCAACGGTTAATCATCAAAGTGGTGGTAAACGGTACTGGTGCAGTAGGGCTTTCTGAAAATCTCCGTTGCCTCTCTCTTCCTCTCTCTCTCTCTCTCTCTCCTCGCTCTCTGGGACGGAAACTTACTATGCATTGGCGGCAATTGGTCGCGGTATCCTTGCAACTCGTCACTGCTTGGAATTTCCAGCTAGTAAGAACGACGATAAGACATAGAAATATCAGGAAACGCATCGGATTTCGATTAAATGAATTTTGCCAAGAAATTCGTGGCAGCAGAAGTAGTAATAATTCGATGGCAAACCGGGGTTATATAGGAACGCGAGAACTTGTTGATCCAGCTGGGGCATCGCGCGTGTTCGACCCGAACCGTGGCGTGTTCGCAAATAGGCGCATGTCGTTGCAGAATTTGCCTCGGTGTTCGATGTACGTAAAATCGATGAAGATCTTGTTGTTTTAGACACAGCTTCTTCACTTTCACTCTTTCTCTCGAGCTCTCTCTGGCTCTCGCGCTCACTGACTCTCTCTGACTTTCTCTCTCTCTATCATCATGTCTACCATCGAATCCACGAAGATATACAATTTATTCCATGAGGTCACTGGGTTTTGTACCACGTGTTCAGCACCGTGCCGTTTCGCGTCCACTGGATCAGCCCACAGGGTGGCCTTCCCTCGCTGTCCCACACTCCAGCCTCGCCGCACCGTTCGCCTTCTGAATCGAGAAATTCAGGCCCAATCTCTCTCTATCTCTCTCCCTCTCTCTCTTCCCCTCTCCTCATTTTCCCTCACCTATCAACGAACTTCCCACGGCTTTCCGATCCCGGTGGTTGATCGAGCAGTGCGTTGACCACATCTGGATTTGAATCTGTATTTCTGGCTCGTTCTCCTCTTCGTGTTCTCTGTTTCCTTCACTTGGTCTCCCTCTCCTCTCTCGCCTCCCTACGCCTCTTTACGACCAACCTGCCAACAGAAGCATCCGTGGCCTACAATAAATATTTATAGCCATTTTCAGCTTCCATCCAACGACCGCTCCACGTACAGTCGACCGGGTCGCTTCTGAAAATATCTTTTTTTTGTTTTCGCTTTTGAAGCTAGAGGGAGAGCGGAGAGCGAGCAAGAGAGAGAGCAAGAGCGAGAGATAGCGAGAGTCGAGAGATGAGCGAGTCAGAGAGAGAAGACTCACTTGCAAATTCAAAACTTCTTGTCATCCCCAGTCCGAAAAATACAGAACACCGGCTGCCCAAAAGAGGCATCTGGAATACACCATCGGCCACCGTCATCCGGACATCGGCCACTGGACTCAAATACGGATTTCCCTTAGGTTGTTACGCCAGTTTTTGGAGATTTTCAAGCGTTGCGTGTTGCCTGACGTAGTTGGCGCTGAAAAGAAAACAGTTTTGCAAAGGGTTTCTTTTTTGCTGGAATTCCTAAAAGTTCCTAAGAGTCTAAGAGTTGCGTGTCACGTTCGCGCACTTGGCTTTTTTGTAACTAGTGAAAAATTAGAAGTCTACGCATCCTCCCTGAATAAAATCATAATCCGTGGGGCAGGTTTCCACACAAAACGGCGCCTTAAACCAAACCATCGGCAACCACCTCGATCTTCTGAGTATCCGTTTGGCGAGGGCGGATTCCATCTGATCCAAGGGGGATAGTCTCGACAAATTGCAAAAGCTTACCCAGCCAAAATCTGCCAGCGCATCCGCTGTCACACCGATGACTCCATCCAACACGGAGTCTGGCACTTTCCAATCCTTTGGCAAGTTTTCTCCTAAAAACTCCGGTTAAACCACAACGTCCTCGTTTTTAAAGAAAGTGTAAAATTTCGCAATCGACCCCTTCGAGCAACTGGGTCTCGACAACTACGGAACGCTGTTTAACCTGTTTATTAACTTTTTTCGACAATCACAACTTGTTGCTAACGGCATTTTTTGGTTATCGACGCTCGATCAGCCTTGCAGGATTTTCTAGCGCCGTTATGCCATTAAAATTTGCGCTAACGTAATCAGGCATCATAACGTACCTCAACGAATCGGCAAACGGCGGCGCTGAATTTAGTAGTGAATTTTGGAGCTGATCACCCAATACATTGGCTATCCACGGCTCCGGGGAAGCTCTCGAGAGATGTAGTAATGAAAGGAAAAGGAGGTCGAGCATCGTAAAAATAGCCGGGATAGCTGGTGCAGAGGAGCGTTGCGTAAATGCTCGTGCTAGGGCTTTGTAAAAAAAAACCTGAAAAAATTGAGATACTTTGAAGCTCGAAATTTATGAAGAAAGAAAATCAAACGCTGGTTTTTGAAAAATTGTCAAAACACAATTTTAGTGGTTTTAGAAGTGTTAAAAACGTTAAAAATTGGTATTTTTACAATTGTAATATGAACATGTACAGAAAAGGAAGAATGATTGATAGTAAGATCAGAACTTCCGGCCTAATCTTTTTTGGTTATTGATTGGTATGCTCTGAAAGCAAAAACCAAACATTTTTAAAAAAAATAGAGGGAAGGGGACATCCACCTTCTGTTTCGAAGAAGTAGAACCCATAAGTCGGTGTTGGGCGCTGGTTTACTAAATAATAATGAACTAACAATTACTTACAATATGAACATAAAAATTACTCAAATTAATCACTCATTAAAATAAATCCATAACCTTCTGGCGTAAAGTCGTACTTCAACGCTAGGAATGCAAAAGTTTCAGCACCCAATCAACCCGATATCCCCTCGAAATCCATCGCCTGCGCCCATTGATGGGCGATACGCGAGAAACGCATTGTTTGTTCGCAGCAGCGTTGTGTAGCCGTAGGGGCCCCGATCACGGACCGATATCCACCCCCCATGAAGCGGAACACTTCTTTCGGGGTCGCGTGAACGAAAAACGAGAGAACAAACGATCAGCCGGGGGGCTTTGTGGCTTCATCATCCCTTTTTCAGGTCACATTTGAGCACTAATGGGAGGGGAAGACACTTGAGGGGCGTTTGGGCGTACTGGAACGTACTCCGAGAGGTATAGAGAACTTTGTACCTCGTCCAAGTAAATCTAAAAATTTAATTGATTTCTTTTAGTTTAAATGGAAGAGTTGTGGCTAGGAAATCTTTGAAATATCGCTGAAAAAATTGCTTGCAAAACTCGAGCTCATTTTAAGCTTCTTTGAGCAGGACTGTGCATCTATTTTTTGAAACTAAACCTGACTAGATTCCGCTTTTCTGCACCTTAAAATTTTATCGCTACAACCAGACACGCTGGTTGGCGAGACATTGCTGAACTGCTTGAGCGAGAGCGAGAGATTGAGAGAGAGACAGACAGAGAGAGACAGGTAGTGAGAGAGAGGGAGACAGTTAGTGGGAGAAAGTGACAGAGAGCGGTGAATTGTGGAATTTCAGAATCTTACTGTTGCGGTTGACCTACCAATCAAGCAAATTCCATTTTTAAGTGTCCCTGCGCCTTTAAAACGTATACCTTGTCGTTAGACTCCAGAAATCAATAAAACTCTTTATCACGCAAAATATATAATATTATTAGCATTCGTTTCGGATTCAAAACAGAAAAAGAAGGAGAAAAAGACATAAGGGGTATCATTAAATTGATTGAGCAGCAACTGGAATGTTTTGGCAATGTCTAGGTCCTTAAAATCACGCAAAAATATTAAATTACGTTATGATATCGTGATCTTAAAATGATTATAATGCACACATCACATTAATTTGGGTGGGAAAGACAGAAAATGAATGCGACTCGTATCGGGTGAGGAGGCGACAACGGCAAAGTTCATTGGGAGGAGGCGAGAGAAAGGGAGAGAGAGCGCAATCAAAGCTGCACATGGTAGCTCGTAGCCCGTAGTTATCAGTATTTAGGTGTACCCCCGTAGCTTTAAAAATGCTCATGGGCGTTGTCCCCTGTCCGCGGGACGTACATAAGGGCCATGGCGCTGCTGGACGCGCTCGTCGTTCTGATCGAGCGGCTCGACGACGACGCCGTTACCGGAGCCGAGGCCTGGAAATTGAAAATTATAATTTATCAAGAAAAGGACCCTGAAAGCCGAAGACTAAGCACCTAAAATGACTTACCGTAGCCCTGATCAGCACCGCCGACAAAAATACTCCTCGACTCGTAGTCATCGTCGTCCTCATAGTAGTAGCCGATCGGTCGGGGGGCTTCTGAAGCTAGAAAGTGAAGTCAAGGTTATGAAGGCAAAATCTGAAACTACAAAATACAGTTCTAAACCCACCTAACGCCTGCGGTCTGGCGAAGAGGAAGTTGGAATGAGCCGAGTCGGTGAGGAGTGACTACTCGAGGAGTCTCTTGCACCCTGCCAAGAAAACGATGGGGGGAGGAATAGCTAGATCCATAGAGAGAAACATATTTTACGTACCTATTCGACCTGCACGAAATCATGTAGATGATGCACACAACAGCGATCAAGACACCTCCAACCACACAAACTCCGACGATGATCTGGATGACGCGCTGGGAGCGGACGACGAAGCGCACTTCGCATCTGAATTTTGAGGGTAATTTTGTTATTTAGTGTTTTGGGGTCTAGGTGTCTAAGACCAAGCGAGCCTAAGCACAAACCCAAGCCTAAGCCTAAGCCGAGGCCTAAGATAAGCCCTACCTCTCCCCCCGGAAGTTGTCCTTGCAGAGACACTCCACTTGACCAGTCGGCGATTTCTTGCAGTGACCGTCGTTCAGGCAGAAGTTGGTACAGGCGTCTGAATGAATCATTATGTAGTATGATTTAAGCCAGGCGAATTCTAGCACTAGTGAAGCTTCAGAATTACGTAGTTTTGAAGCTACGATTTTTTGATGAAATCCGGGCACGGTAGAGGATTACTTACCATAACAATGCGTCCCATTTCCACGGAATCCGGGCTTGCATCGACAAGTAAACGAGGGGGACGTCGTTCTCATCAGGCAGATCGATGCAAGTCGCGTGCCAGGAGCAGTTGTCCTCACCGGTCGTACATTGGTTGGTTGAGTAGCATTGAGAACGAGCCGTTGCCTAAAATTTAACGTTTTTATGGAACTGTCAAGCTCAGACCTAACCCCATGCCTAAGCCTCAGCCTACACCTAAGAACCCTTTTATCTTACCCCTTGTGCAGCTGTGGTATGGTCAGAGTCGCACAACTTGCACGTCGTCTGCTGTTCCTCATCTTGGAAGGTTCCACGAGGACAGAATTGGCATTGACGGCTGAAAATAGTTGATGACTCTGGCACTCAGAAGCCCAGGACAACAACATCAAGTTCAATACGGTCAACAGATCCATGAGCTAATTAGAGCTAGCTGCCAGTTCGAGCCTCGCAAAAAAAATTCTAGAGAAACAGCAGCTTGTTCAAGGGGTTTGGAGAATTGGACAGATCGTTCCCCTACCTGGCAGCCACCAAAAACTGGCCCTTGACGCAGCGCGGCGTATCGCATTGCTCGCGTCGCGTAGCAGCGGTGTGTTGTGTGGTGGTACCAGCTGGGCATGGTACGCACTCCTTGTGCTCCCCGCGGGTACGGTAGGTACCGAGGGGGCAGGGTTGGCACGTTCCGGAGACGGACAGGTGTTCGCCATCTGAAAAGTTTTCATGACTCTCGTACACTCTCTCGCTCTCGCGTTCTCTCTCTCCCTCTCTCTCTCTTTTACCTGGACACTCATCACGACACTCCTCTTCACTCGTACTCCTCTCGGTGAGCGTCGTCTTGCCAACACCACACGCGAGACACTCGAACGAGCCTAGATTTTTCCGATTTTTTCGATTTGAACCATCTTTAAGGCACTTAGAAGTCGGACCTACCCCCAGTCGGCTGGTAAAAACCGAATCCACAAGGTCGGCATTGAGCAAGAGCTTGGTGGAAGAGGTGGCCAGGTGGGCAGTCGTCTTTGCACTCCTCCTGACTGGTAGATCCCTCGACCATCGTCGTCTTGCCGACACCACAGTGGACACACTCGGGCTGGCCGCTTAGGGGCTGGAACGAGCCAACCGGGCATAGCTGGCACTCCGAGTGCTCGGCGGAGAATCGTGAGCCTGGGGCGCAAGGCACTAAAAATTCAGGTTTCGTTTGAGCTTGAGCCCCCTTGCGTTTTGGAAATCATAGGCAAACCGGACTCACCGCAAAGATCATCAACCGTCACGCTGCCCTTGGGGCAGGAGAACTTCTCGGAGAGCCGGAGACCGGCGAGGTTTGGCTTGGCATGCGGGACCGCGGCCGAGACGTCCATAGCTCCCAGGAGCAGGATCTCGCGTTGGAGGGCTTCGAAGGGGCGGGTCTTCTCGCCACTTGAAGCAGTTGTCACGAAGTCTCTGAAATGAAGTCTCTGAAAGAGAGAGAGAGAGAGAGAGAGAGAGAGAGAAGGACTACGCTACACACCTCTTGACAGGCAACTCCAGGTGCACGTGGAAGAAGTGAGCGTTGGGTGGTAGCTCTCGCCGAAGACGAGCAGCAGCTTCACGCCCAGTCAAACATTCTACATTCAGTTGTACGCCGGCGCAACCTCCATTTTCGGCCCTGAAATTTGGGTTACAGAAGTTCCGTAAAAACGTACTTGGCACTGCACAGATCCCATTTCCCGTTGATTTGGTCAATGCGCTTGCGCAGCTCCTCGGCAAGCGCGTCGCGATGGGCCTCATTACACAGCGAAGCAGCTGGGTACTGGACGTTGAGCTGGACGAAGCGAGTGGCGGGTGTGGATCTGGAAGGGATTGATAGGCAGTGCACTGAGCCTAAGCCTAAGCCTAAGCCTAAGCCTAAGCCTAAGCCTAAGCCTAATCCTGAGCCTAAGCCTAAGCCTAAACATAAGCCTAAGCCTAAGCCTAAGCCTAAGCCTAAGCCTAAGCCTAAGCCTGAGCCTAAGCCTAAGCCTAAACATAAGCCTAAGCCTAAGCCTAAGCCTAAGCCTAACCTAAGCCTAACCTAAGCCCCATCCCCAGCTTAACCACTCACTTTGTGCACTGTGGATACTTGAAGTGAAGCGCACGATCGGGTCTTGGCCGCCACATGCCGTCGGAGCCGCACGAGTAGAAGACAGGCGGCTGTCGGGAGAAGGCGTAGCCCTCTCGGCACTCGATCGAGCAGGCCTAAATTATTGTTGCTCATTTTTGTGGTTTATGCTCACCTTGAAGCGCAAATTCGGGCCCCATGCTTCGCAGACTTGGAGTCCGTTGACCGGGTCGGATACGTCGGGGCAGTGCTCACGAGATACGCGGACCTGTAGGTGACCTCACTTTAGCAGAAAATCTTGAACTTGCCGAAAAACTGCAGACCGAAGCGCGTTGAGCACTATCGTGAGCGACGTAGAGCACGTGGTGGTCACCGTGTGGTAGAAGCTAAAATTTTAGCTTACATCTCGACCGACTTCCTCAATTTAAAATGTTTCTAGCGATGCTGCACGGCTTGAAGTCGGGTTTTTAACACCTGATGGCGTGGCGACGCCCAATCTACAATCCCTAGCCCTTAGAAACCCACCGTTCCGGGCTTCAAACTCTTTTCCACCCTGACGATCTCGTCCGGCGACGTGAACACCGGCTCGTCCCAGGTGATGTTCATCTCCCGTTGGGCGGACACGGCATAGATGTCAAGAGGGCAATTCTAGAAGAGAAACATCTAATTTCTAGGACACTGGCAATCTACCTCGACCCTGATCTCCTTGCTCTTCTCGCCCTTGGTCTCACGGCCACAAGTGGATCGTGCTCGCTTCTCGACCTTGCCGACCAGCTTCGAGTAATCGGCGAAGCGGAGGATGAGGCCGTGGAAAAGGTCCTGAAATGTGAGAATGAGCTTCGGCCTCTGAAGCTCCACCTCAGTTCCCTGGCATTCCGAGATCATCGGGGCGATGTCCATCTCCCGATCAAGAGCCCGGTCCCAGAGATTAACTCGCGTAATCGATCCCGAGAAGGCGTCAAGCGTATTTTCAGTAGGTATGGTGGGCTCGCCGAGCACGACATACATGCTAAATCGGAGCTTAGGATTGTGGATGCTCACTTACTTTGCTGACAGCGTTTTTCCGATACCGTATTCCTTCTCGGTGTAGACGGGCACGGCGTTCCAGTACAGGGCCAAGGAGCCGGATCCAGACGCCCAGGTGAGGGCCTAGAATTGGGTCCTATACAAAATCCTGAAACACGCAAACCCACCAGATGATGCCACCGCCCGTCATTGATCTGCTGCAGCGCGGGCCACGGCATCTGGAGGGGCACCTCATCAGCGAGGAGCTTGACTCGGACGCCACTCGAGCTGATCGTCACCATCTCGGTGAGGTTCATCGGCTCGGAGGGGAGGGAGCTGTTTGAGATTGTCAGCACGTTTCCACGAGAATCAGCTTGGCTGAATTGAAGCCACAAGGACAAGGTGAACGCCTTGAGATTGGCCTTGAGTGGGATGGCTTGTGCTGCAGAAGAACCTCGGATCGGATCGAAGAAGTGGAGGTCGTAGTCGACGTCGACAGCCTGAAGAGGGCGGCATTGAGCGAGAACGAGAGAGACAGGAGAGAGAGAGAGAGAGAGAGCGAGAGAGAGAACGAGTCAGAAATACACACCTTATCGCAGCTTGATCCCGTGACGTTGAACGGACATTTACAGTGATAGCCGTCAATCTGGTCGATGCAAGTAGCTGATAACGGGCAGGGGCTAGCAGCGCACTCGTCGATGTCGGCCTCACATCGTCCGCCGGTGAAGCCTGAAGTTTAGGAGTTTGTGTATGTCTCTCTCTCTATCCCTCTCTCTCCCGCGCTCTATCTCTCTCTCGTTCCTTCTCTCTGTAACTCTCGCTCTCTCTCTCGCTCTCTCTCTCTCGCTCTCTCTCTCTCGCTCTCACCCTGTCGACTTACCAGCTTTGCAAGCACACTTGAAAGACCCTCCCGAAGTCACCGAGCAGCTTCCGCCATTCATACAAGTACCCGGAGCACAGGGTTCAGCTACGAATTGACATCCGGCGCCTAGAAGTTGTACAAAATTTATGAGTATCGTCGTATCTTACCAGTAAAGTGCTTGGGACAAGAGCACTCGACCCTGGAGCCAAAGTCTCCACAAACACCGCCATTGTGACACGGTTCTCCGACACAACGATTTGGCGCCACCTCGCAGTCCTTGCCGGAGACGCCTGCAAAGTTGATGATGATCCAAAATGAAAAAAGTAGAAAATGGAACAAAATCAAGTGTAATAAAGAAACAATAGGGGCGTAAGTTCAAGCAACAATAATACTTATATCTTACCTTCCGGACAAACGCAGAAGTAGTCCGAAACCAGATTCACACATCTTCCATCGTTCTTGCACGGCTTCCGGTCGCAGGCTCCCGACTCGGTCTCACACCGATCCCCGGTCCATCCGCGGGCGCAGACGCATTTATAGGTGGCGCCGAAGTCGGTGCAAGTACCATTGTTCAGGCAGGGTGAGGAAGCGCACTAATAGACTGTATTACCCTTCAGAAAAGCCAAAAACCTGATCAATGTGCGTCTCGCAATACTGGCCGGTGTATCCTGGTCTACATTGGCACGTGAAGCTGTTAATGCCATCGAGGCAGGCTTCGGTACCCTTGGGGTGGCACTGAAAAAAAGAAATGTCCTGCATCCTCTAGCTCTCGCTCTTTCTCTCTTTCTCTCTCGCTCGCTCTCTCACTCTCTCTCTCTCTCCTTACCTTTCCTATCGTTCCGCATTCATCGATATTCCTTTCACAATGAACTCCTTCAAATCCAAGCGGGCATGCACAGCTGTAGACCGGCCCCTCGTTGGTGCAGCTGGCTAAAAAGCGGAAATTGAGACTTAGCTGGTCCTCAAAATGCTTCAATTGAAAGCCCAAAATTTACCGTTATTCCTACATGGCTGTAGAGCGCAATGGTCGTCTAGGAGCTGGCAGCGAGAACCATGGTAGCCACTTGGGCAGGTACAAGAGTAGCCGTCGACCTGCAGGTATATATTGGTAAAGTAGGGATCCGCCTCGCTCTCTCTCTCTCACTCTCTCTCCCTATCTCTCTTACCAAATCGTGACAAGTTGCTCCATTCTCGCAAGGTGTTGCCGCGCACTCATCGATGTTAATCTGGCACACATCACCGGTCCAGCCTAAGAAAGGTTTTTAAAGTATTCTATGAGGTAGCAGAACTTTCCTTATTGTTTTTACGATATCTAAATCTATGCCCCTGTCTTTAAATCCCAAAATTTTTGACTAACCCGGCTCGCAGATGCACTGCCTAGCGTACAGAGTATCCACGCAGAGCCCATGTACGCAGGGATCGGAAGCGCAGAGGTCGACTAAAGGGCCATTGAAGTGAAAATCCGTAAATTAATACCTTTCCGGTTGCAGCGCTTTCCAGTGAATCCCTTCGGGCACTTGCACTGGAAGTCGTTGACCAGGTCGACGCAGGTGGCGTTCAAGGCGCAGGGGCGGTCGGCGCAGTCGTCTGAAAAATTAATTTAGAGGGGTTGCCATAAGCCTGAGCCGAGGCCAAACCTAGGCCGAAGCCTAAGCCTAAGCCTTGCATTATTCAAATTTTTATCTCCTTCCTAGCGTTCCACTCCCTTCCTAATGACGCCCTCTTGGCACACGGCAAGTTGAAATTTGACCCGTAACAAGTGGGGGAATGGGGCAGCCGGCCAAATGCTCTAGCTAGATAGACGTCCCGTCTCTCTCTCTCTCTCTCTCTCTCTCTCTCTCTCTCTCGCTATTCCACTTTCGTTCACGCGTAAACAAGTGGTTGTTTACGTCCCCCCCCCCTCCCTCCCCAAACGCATAGCCACCGAAATTCGACAAAAAGCAGGGATGTACTTTTGGGTAGACACGTGTGAGGTCAACGCGACAAAGCAGGAGAACTTCACAACAAATCTATAGTCTTCTCGAGGTCCGCCGCCTCGAAATTGCCTATTCAAGTGTTTTTCGTCAAAATAGCCTGATTTTTGAGGGTTTTGAGCTCGAGATTTTTTTCTGGGCGTGGTTTGACTGAATTCGAGAAAAATATGCAAATTTTTAATGTCTTTAGAAACTTTCGGCAATCAGATTTGTGTAATTCGTCGCGTTTTACAATTTGCATAAATTACGTAGTGATTAAGCATATTTTTTCAAATTACCATAATTTTGCAACGTAAAAATCAATCATTTCAAGCTTCGAAGATGTACAAAAAGGTTGATTTTACTTGTCGGAGTTCAAGCTTTTGAGAAAGTTTTTTTTGGAGGGCTTGAGCTCGTTTCACTTTGCAGTCTTAAAACCCTCGTTAAAAATTGGGAGCAGCTACGAGAGACTCCAAAATACATCTAGCAATTCCAAAATACGGCTGGCTACGGTTTACTTTACCCCCCCAGCCGGACGTTTTTGGCTATCCTACTATATATAAAAAAATAGTGTCTGTGTGTGTGTGTGCATTTGCATGCAACTTCCGTGAGGATGTTCCGCATCTACAGCCTCAGGGAAGCATTTTTTCGGTAGTGAAGAACCGTCATTAGGTAAAGAAGGGTCCGGAATCGACTGCACGCACATAAAATCTTTGAAAAATTGCTATTTTCGCTATTAAAAACAAATTTTTGTAAAATTCTCGCCACCCTCTTTGTTAGGGATCAATTAGCATAAGCCGGAAGTCGGATAGCCTATATAAAGCGACAGAGGAGCCGTTTTTCACTTTTTTCCTGATAGATTTTGGGGAAGAAGCATGCAAATTGAAGACTTTCATCGGTCCTAGACGGGGCCAGGGTTGAAAAGCCGCGAAGCGGTTTTTCAACCCTGGTAACTTTTTTATTTTACATTATTGTAGGCTCAAATTAAAACTCTTAGTATATTTTTCGACGCTCTATCGAATGGCGTTGCAAAAATCCCGACAAAATAAGCGAAAATACCGACAACTTTGAGACCCTTCGGCTGCGGGGGGGAGGGGGTGGGATAAAGTAAACTCTTACCAAACGGCTTTTTGACTTTTGGTAGCAATTTATGAGGGTTTTTTGGAAGTCTAAATCTTTTTTCCTACTTTTTTAGGTTCCTAAAATTTGCTGCAACTTTGCATAGGCTACTTCTTGAGAATCCCGTCTTTCCGAAGCTTTATTTTTCTAGTAAACTTCTTTGTGCACAAATCAGGCTAAAATTCGTGCTTCCGAATTTGCCCATGTCTCCCTCCTCATCCAAAAACCACCATTTCCAGCTTAATATGCGGATGGAGATGAGAAATGGGCCCTGGGGGCCCGAAGAGCCATCCCTGCCCCAGGGCCACGCCCCACCACATCGATCCCGCCCACACCCCCAACACCATTCCCACCACAACAAGAAGCACCACAAGAAGCGCGGACGTCTCTACGCCATGTTCTGCTGTTGCTGCTGGCCGCTGCACAAATGTGTTACGGTAAGTGGGTCGGATTATAATACACAAGATAGATCCCACTTTTCACGACGATTTTCACCGCTTTACCGCGGTGTTCCCAAATTCTTCTGTTAGAGCAGTGGATAAGAGCCCAGGTTGTCAAAATATAGCTCGAGGGTTCAATCCCGCGCGAGGAATCAAATTTTATTTTTACTTTTTTTTTGCCTTAATGCTATATTTCTGAAGCTTAAAGGGTCCGGAGCCTCACAAAAACCCCTGGATGTTGAGAATCTGGATCTTTAAATGTTTGACAAATTTTTGTCATTTGATTTTGAGCTTCAACGGTCCTTTGGAAAGCTGAAAAAGATTTAGGAACGCTTCCCGGGCGTTCAGAAATTGGCCAGAGAGAGAGAGAGAGAGAGAGAGAGAGAGAGAGAGAGAGAGAACAAGCCGTATAGGGAGAGCGAGAAAAATTTATTTTCTATTTTTCCACTTTTAGGTGCTGTCCCTGCTCGACACGGTGATCATCGCCTTTTTCGCGTTCAACGCCTTCGAGGAGTTGGCGCAGACGATTGACGATCCGTGGGTTTTTATGGAGACTTTTTGGTCCTCTCTCTCTCTCTCTCGCTCTCTTTCCCGCTCTCTCTGTCGCTCGTTCTCTTTCCCTCGAACCCGGGGATTAACCGCAAGGGCAGCATTTTTTGATGGCCAGCTCCTCCTAATGCCCCATTCCGGAGCATTCCCATCTCCGGCCAGCCGTCCCTCCGCTCAGAGGCCCAAGCTGTTGTCAGGGGGATTTGGGAGGGAACCCTCACTCCTGAGCCATACCCTCGGGCTGCATTCTGCCCTCCAGAACCCCAAACGGCTGGCGGCTGCTTACCACGCCAACAACAAAGAAAATGGAACGTCACGCTACGGGGCGCTGCCAATTACGGGCATAGCGTGCGTGGGGGTGGTATTGTCTTGCTAGTGCAAAGGGGGTGGTGCGAATTTATGGACCGAGAGAAGGGAATTGGTACGAAATTCCTGGTGTTCTCGTCGGGTTTTTTCTGTCGGGATCTCTAGTATCAGGATTCTGACCTTTTCCTAGTTCGCAGTCCCTTCTCGTCCATTGCTATACCTTCCGCTTGGCCAGAGTCCATTTTTGGAAACAATACGAAGCGGCTCTCGGCGTTTTTCGCCGCTTCTCTTCTCAACCCTAGCTAACCCGGGATGGCTGCTGCTGATTACTGGGTTGAGGGCAACCCCTCGTCGTCGGCCTGCCGGCAATTGTGCTTTTGCGGGGCAGAGGCTTTTGGGTGAGGGGAAGAAGCGGCTAAGCGGGGCGACCAAATCGAATTCGCGCCCGCACGGATACACCCCAGCTGCGAATAATTCATTTGGGGGAGATTCGGTTGGGGAGGGGGAATTGAGGGAAATGGGGTAGAGTGGCTTGGCTTCAAAACTTGCTTAGGCTTAGGCTTAGGCTTAGGCTTAGGTTCAGGCTTAGACTTAGGCTTTACCTTCCGTTCTAACGTCGGCCCTGAAATTACTTCCCCCTAGAATTCGTAAATACACAACCCGGCCGCTCACTTGCCCGTGTAATACGCCCATTGTTTGACTAGCTGTTGTGTGTGGGAAATTTGCGACCCGGCGGTGCGCCTGGGTCCCAATGGCATGTCCCCAAAGGCATCCGGAGGCCATTCTCTGCCCTGTTATTACTCAAAAGCCATTCCCCCAGAAAGGGTCCACTGGCCAAAATCTGAATCCGGAAAGACCAGGGTTGTCAAGGATTCTCAAGGATCTTTGTAGCTATCTCTCCCTCACTCTCTCTCTCTCTCTCTCTCTCTCTCTTCTACTGCTCTTTCTCTTGTCCTCCTTCTCCCGAGGTGCTTTGCTCATTCCCCAAAGCTCTCTATTAGCGATCCTCATTTTCGCATTCCGGATCAATCCTTGCTAGATCCCAATAATTCGTCAATCTAGGCACTGGATCACGATCGTTTGCTTTGTCGTGCTTACCGCCATTTTGATATGTCAGGTAGAAAGGCCAAGCTTTTGAAGCTTCTGCTTTATTTTTAGATCCTCGCTTCGATCTGCACGGTGCTAGCCCACAAACGAAGCTTTGCCCACTATCTGCTCCCCCGATTGGCGCTATGTGGAAGTAAGTCTCAGCCTAAGCCTAAGCCTAAGCCTAAGCCTAAGCCTAAGCCTAAGCCTAAGCCTAAGCCTAAGCCTAAGCCTAAGCCTGGCCTAAGCCTAACCTAGGCCGAAGGCCTAAGCCTAAGCCTAAGCCTAAGCCTGGCCTAAGCCTAAGCCTAAGCCTAAGCCTAAGCCTAAGCCCAAGCCTAAGCCTAAGCCTAAGCCTAAGCCTAAGCCTAAGCCTAAGCCTGCCGAGCCCAAGCCTAAGCCTAAGCCTAAGCCTAAGCCCTAAGCCCTAAGCCTAAGCCTAAGCCTAAGCCTAAGCCTAAGCCGAAGCCTAAGCCTAAGCCTAAGCCTAAGCCTAAGCCTAAGCCTAAGCCTAAGCCTAAGCCGAAGCCTAAGCCTAAGCCTAAGCCTAAGCCTAAGCCTAAGCCTAAGCCGATTCTTTTAGTGCTGGTCATCCTCTCGACCCTCGGCTGCATGTTTGTCCTCTACTATTTCATGAGTGGGGAGGAGAAGATGAACAAGATGGTCTTCCAACTTCATGATGTGGGTTACTAATGGCTTTGATTAACCTATCTATTCTAGTATTTCTACCCCGGCGAGCTCGATGACTTCGAGAAGGGAAGAATGGTATCGGATTTGAAGATCTACGCTGGAGTTTTTGGATGTGAGTTGCTTGAGACTGGACCATCATTAATGCGTAAATTTTGGATAGCGTATATCGTACCTTTTGAGCTTTTAAGGCAAGGCAAGAATCTATGAGTTCAAAGCTTCAAAGCATCTTGAAACCTTTCTTTAGTGCTCTCCTTCGTCTACGCGCTCTACAACGGTTTCGCACTCATGCTGACGAAGAAGTACTACGAGCACCTGAACGGCTTCCGGCCGGTGAGTTGTCTTTTCGCTGAAGCCTAAGTCTATGCCTGAGCTAAGCCTACGCCTAAACTTACGCTAACTAAATTATCACTTTCAGCTCCCACAAGAAGCCTCGGCCCCAGCCTACAACCCCGACTACCCGCCGCCCCACCACAAGCAGGACGCCAGCAAGGGGGCCACCTATCCGAGCCTGCCATAAGCTTCTTGCGCTCTATTCTTTCTACATAGGTTTTTTGAAAGTATTTTCCTATTTATCTCTCTCTCGTATCTCTCGTTCCTTGGCACCACGCGGTATCCCTCTCGTCCCAGATTTTACCCCCCTCCCAAGCTTGCTCCCTGTTTGTTGGATCTCATATTCACCAGTCATGCTCCAGAATCACGATTTTGGGGTTGTTTTTATGATCTCCCCGCTTTTCCTGGTCATCTACTTTTTTTTGGTGTGCATAAAGCGTCGAAACTGCGTAAAAAGATTCTGAAGACTCACCAATATTGTGCGAGCACGTCGGGCCGTCCCAGCCGGGGAGACATTTGCATTTGAAACGGCCTGGAATTCGGAAATTAGCCAGGTTTGGCACTCTCTCTGGCTCTCGCACTCGCTCGTGCCTTGTATCTCTCGTGCCCTCACGCGCTTTCTTTCGCTCTCTCTCTTTCTCTCGCTCTCTCACTCTCTCGCTCTTTCGTTCTCTCTTGCAGACGTTGTAAAAATTACAACCACACAACGCTCCTGTATACGGTTATATCTACTCATACTGGTGTTTTAAATGGATAGCAATATGCGTAGAACTCACCAAGTTGAAGCGGCTGGCAGTCAGCACCATTGCGGCATGGGTTAGCAGTTGAACAAATGTCGGTGACCTCCTCGCAGTCGGTGCCCGCGAAACCGGTTCTAAACGGAAATTTAGATGGCTAGAGAGCCACAGAGAGAGAGAGAGAGAGAGAGAGAGAGAGAGAGAGAGATAGAGAACGAAAGCAAGAAAGAGGGAGAGAGAGATGGAGAGTCGTGCTCACCTGCACAAACACTTCTTGGTTCCATAGCCGGGTAGATTGTGACAGACGCCGCCGTTGGGGCAGCTGACACCGTCACAGTCTTCTGGGCCCTTCTGACAGCGAGGTCCGGAGTAATCTGGACACGAACGAATTATGGATTCTTTAAACATTAATGGCTAGCTAGAAACATCAGTCAAAATCCCGGTGTGCCACTCCCTTTAAAAAACCCACGTTTCGGGCAAATACATCGATAAGTCCCAGAAGCGGCCTCGCAGACACCATTGTTGAAGCATGGGTTGCTGGCACAGACCTGTAGATATTCTATTGGATCATCCACGTCAAAACCGACCTCTCTCGTCTCTTCGCACCTTGATCCTGAATATCCAGGGCGGCACTCGCATACTGCACGGTGATTCTTGATCGCGCAGAGGCCCTGGAAAATTAAAATCTGAATTTTAAGCAGTAGGATTGAAATTTATTTATCGTTACTGACTCATCTTTGTTTTAGAAACCTTCAGAAGTTTAAAAAAATGCAAAACCTACGCGATTTTCACATTCCACAGCTGCACAGTCGATGGCCACACACATGTCTTCAGAAGCTGCTCCCTCGGAGAATGTGGCTGTCGAGTTTCCGCACTCGATGCATCTATAAAAAATTTTTGAGAGAGCGAGAGCGATAGAGAGAGACAGAGAGAGAAAGTGAGAGAGAGAGAAAGGAAAAGCGAGACAACGAGGATTTTAAAGGCTACCATCGATCACTAACCTCTGTTGCCCCAAACTCGGCTGGTAGTAATTCTGAGGGCACCTGGAGCACGGCTCCAACCCGGTCAGCGAGAAGGTGCCAGCCTGGCAGGCCTGCTTGCACTGCGATGGTCCGGTGGATCCAAGGCGAGCGGTGTACGCTCCGGGGTCGCAGGGGGTGCATTCCTGAAAATTACGGGTTTAGAGTAACTGTTGAAACCTAGCCGACGTTAGAGTCGATTTTACTGCTTCCTATTTCCTATAATAGCAATCCACAACCAACCTTGTATCCATCAATTGGAGCTGGACCGGAATAGGTGTGCCTCGGGCACAGCTGGCAAGGGATCAGACCGCTAGCGGAGTACATTCCATTCCCACAGACGGCTAAAATAGAATAGTGGTTTTGTAGACAGCATATCTTACGCTATTTGCGTAGTTTCGTCTTACCTAGACACTGCTCCAGGGCGTGAGAACCAGAATAATGTGTGTAATGACCATCAGGGCAAGCCTTGCAAGCGACTTGACCTTTTTCATCCTGAAAATTCGACAATTTCGTTTTTTGTTATTAAAAAAAGTTTTTAAACGTATTCAAGTGCAACATACCTTAAGATATGCTAAGCACGTCTAAAATATCATAATCTACCCACCTGGAAGGAGCCTCTCGGGCACTTGACACAGCTGTTGTTGACGTTGACACTTCCGACGGGGCAGGGTACTAAATGACCGTGCAGCGATAAATACGATAAAAATACAGTAAGCAAAGGTCTGGAAAAATATACATTAAACGGCCGATTAAAAACTATGAAGGTTACTCACAGCACTCTGGCAGACTACCGTCCTTTGGCGCGCGTAGTACCTCGCCGTCGGCGCATCCGAAACCCTGAAATAGCAGAAAATCACACCCTGCTGAAAATCTGATCATCTTCACGTTGAAATTCCTCAATTATTCGCTTTTTCTTACCTGAGATACGATAGAATTAGCGGCAACGAGCGTTGGGCACTGTCCGGATTGTGTAGCTCCAGCGTCGAGGGAGAGGAGCTGCTTAATCGGGGCTGTGGCGCCTGGAAATGAGCATTAAATTAGATACCTCAAGCTCCCGAGCTAATTTGAGATCGATCAATACAAAAGCTTCAGAAGAAGAATTAATGCCAAAGACATACCAGGAATTCTCAAGTCGAAAATTGTGCGTAGTGTAAGGCCGCAGAGATCGTAGAAGACGTCTTGCAGGACGGAGGGCAGGATCTGGAAGATATAGCGTTTTTGAGTCACTAAATCCCGAAAAAATGCCGACAGGAAAATGCCGACAAATGCAGTTTTTTTCGGTATCAACAATGTCGGTATTAATGGACTAGCATTGGCACCGATTATGGAAGTCAAACGTATAGCCGACCTTGGCTTTTAAAATGCCGACAATCGAACAATAGCATGGAAAATTTTGTCGGGGTTATTAGTGTCGGCATGTTGTCGGTAATAGCATTAATCCCCAAATTCCAAAACAGCCGTTAAAGCTGTAAAACCCACTTGAATCGTGTAGTTGGCCTGCGTGTTTCCGGGCTGCTGGTGGAACTTGACGTCGAGGAAGCGGACGTAGACCTGGACGGAGGAGGAGCAGCGTTGGGACAAGGCAGCGTCGAGGGAGTCAAAGTAGGTGGTGATCAAGGTGGTGTAGCCCTGCAAAAAAACGAGTTAGAACGTGAAAACTTGTGTTTACCAGCCCCTTTAAAACCGGACTACCCACCTTGATACACTCCGCACTCGGCGGCGTCGCAACCGGGTAGTCAACTCCAACGCTCAGCTCATATCGGGCAGGTTCATCAGCTACAGGCACGCACGCGGGCGCGACTCCAGATGGTGACCAAGAGCCGTCGGAACACGCGAACTCTTTCTCGATCTAAAATCTCGGATTGAACTCCTTGAACTTGTTCCAATTCTTTTCTAGCCTATTTTACGAATTCTAGTTATCTGAACGCCTTGAACTTGTCGTACCTTGTCTTCATCGACAAATCTATATCCTTTATGGCAAGAGATTGTGCATACTGTAGCCCCATCTCGCTCGGCGCACGTCTTGATGGTGTTTGGAGAGCTGGCGAGGGACCAGGAGGAACAGACCTCGGCTAGAAAGGGTTTCTTTAAGACAACCTGTGTACTTACGCATGTAGGCCACTTGGAATTGGCACTTGTTGCTGTTGCCGAGAGCATCTACTGCCGAGACCTGGAAGAAAGGTTTTTATTTTTTGGAACGCTTATACCTCAACAGTGAGGTGTTCTCCGAGCCTGATGTTAGCTTTTGGCGGATTGAACGATACGGAGGTGACGTTAGAGACGTCTTGGATGACCATGGGGACGCTCATCTCGTCGAAGATGACCTCCGTGACGTTGGAGCCTTCTGGGGCCCAGAGAGCGTAGGAATCGGGGCATTTCATCACGGGCGGGAGGGTGTCTGAAAGTCATAGTGTTCAAGGAGCAGAGCCAGGTTCGTGCCGTAGACGCGCGTGTCGCCTTTCACCACCTTTCCGGCAAGTTCTGTATCGTACTCGGCTCTCGTACCCTCTACTCACCCGGAATCCGGATCTGCACCAAACACTCGGCAGTATTTCCGGCCTCATCAAAGGCTGTGTAGAGCACATCAACATCAGCGCTGACAACGCGAGGAGGTTCAAAGCCTTGCGGTTCTACCCGAACCCAGGCGACACGTCCAGAGTTGTCAGAAGCTCGCGGAATTTCGAAGGCAACAGGTTCCAATTGACCATTATCGTCGGCGGACACGTAGATGGGGTTGGCTGGGCAGTTGCTGAAAATTGTCGCTTTTCAAAGTTATGGTCCAAGTGAGAGAGAGTACGAGAGCGAGAGAGCGAGAGAAAGGAAGCGAGAGAGAGAGAGAAAGAGAGTGAGAGAGCAACTACCTGAAAACCGGTGGTTCGGCATCGATGCAGGTAGGTACAGAGGCGTTCCAGCCGACCTGAAGATGCATCGGCAGTTCATGAATGGAAGCCGGCGCCAAGCAGCCCTGGACGTCGAATCGCATACATGGGTGGCCCTCATATTCAGAGACCCCGAGCAGCAGGTACCTCGCCTGCAGGCTCGGGCTCAACTCGAAGTGATGCATGGCATTGTGGTTCCCGGCCGGCGTCTCGAACTCCACGGGATACGTGTCGTAGTTGTGGCTGTACTGCTTCTTGTGGAACAGTTGCATTTTGGTGACGTGGCCACGCAAGGGTCCTTGGCCAGCTACACCGGTGAGGCGCAACGTCGTCAATGTGTACACCCTTTGGAGGTCGATGGAGAGGAAGATGAACGCGTCTTTTTGGCCGCACCATCCGGTCGAGCTCATCCGAGCCTAAAATCAGGCTTAGCTTAGGCTTTGGCTGAGGCTTAGGCTTAGGCTTAGGCTTAGCATCCTAAATTACCTTATGCGGCTCATATCCATAGTTAACGGTATCCGAGTTGTCAGCAAAAGCCCCATCCGGGATGTAGCCATCGCTGATGCCGAGGTCTTCAGAGAGGGTGCAAGGCGTTCCCTAAATTGAGCTCATCTACCGATTCTAAACTTTATTACCAAGGTACAATTGATAAGAATCCGACGGGAAGGCTTGTAGCCCGGGCGGTTGCAACTGAACTTGGCGACAGCTCCTTCTTCGACAGAGGTCAGCGCAACAGCGCCATCTGGAGGATAGCCGGGGTCGACGCAAACCGGACCTAAAAACTCGTTTCCTTTAAAGGGCGAGTTCAAGCTGCTCAAGAAATGAAAATTTTGGAGCGATTGGTGGTGACCTAAGTATCAAAGGGTTCAAGCTGTTCAAGCTGAGAGGAAGCAGATCAACTCCCCGGTTTTGCTAAGCGATCTGAACCGTACTGCTCCGGTAATCTACAAGCTACAACTTGCTGACCTTCACACCGTAGACTTCCTAGATCCCAGGAACCATCGAGGTGACAACGGACGAGTCTATCGTCGTAGGTCGAGCGCCCAACGAGTGAGTAGGGCGGACGACACGAGAACGTCAGGGACGACCCGACCTTGTAGACCCCGAAGTCCCCTTCGTAGATAGCTCCAGCGAGTTGTGGTGGCCGTCCGCAGTCGACCTGTAGATGAACACGGTTTTTTTATTCAGTAATGGATGTGGCTACTGTAAAATTACGGTACGTAGAAGCTATGCTATAGTAGTTTACGCTACAATACGTTAACGACGTTACGCAACAAGTCCTTTTCGCTAGGACACCCACGTAACATTTACGCGCACGTCACTAGTACGCTACGCTACGTAAAAGTTACCGTACACCACCTAAAAGTATCTCCCAGTACGAAACTTACCATAGGACAGTCCACTCCTGCTCCACTCAACCAGTAGTCTCTGCCATCGGTCTGAGGATCGAAAACGCACTCGCGGAATCCGAAGAGAGGGGATGGACGAGCTGAAATTGCCGATTTTTATCTTTCTCGCTCGCTCTCTCGCTCTCTATCACTAGCTCTCTATCACTCCCCCTCTCTCCTTCTCTCGCTCTTTTCTTTCTTTCTCACCTGGTCGATTCTGCTGCGTGCACATGATCGACACGTTCTGCCCGTCCGTACGCGATCGTGTCGTTGTCCGGGAAGACGTAGAGGCCAATATTCGTAATGTTGTGGACTCCTTGGCAAGTGGCGGCTAAGAAATCAATCTTAAACTACCACAAGTAAAACTTACGAATACAGAACGGCGTCGTGCCATTCCAGGTCCCGTCAGCCAGGCATTGAATGAACTCGGCGCCCATCATCTTCAAGCAGTACAGGTATCACTTTGGTAACAGCTAATACCTGGTATCCGAAGTTGCACTGGAACTTGACGGTCATCGGGTAGGCGAACTCCTTGCCGGTGGCCAGCAGCTTGCCGTTCATTGGGGAGGTGACGGTGGGGCAGATTTTCGGGACGCACGTCTTGTTGAACCTGGCGAAGTTGCTGTATAAATCTCAAATCACTAGATGCACCTGTAGACGTCCAAATTGCTATAACCGGTCTCGCCCTCCTTGACGACGCGCCCGCCCTGGCCGTCAGCAGTAAAGAGGTCGTAGCCGTCTTTGCAAGGCGCACTCGTAGCCGCCCTGGAATTGTGGTTTGGAACACGCTATCTATTCAGAGCTACCATATGATTGACGCAAAGATGATCACAGTGCCCGTTGTCCTCCTCGCACTCGTTGATGTCGACGCAGGTGCTCTTTTGACATCCAAGGACGGCGATCTTAAGCAATTTTACTGTGAGCACCAGCCACCTCAGACTACCTGAGCGCAAGCAACACCCTTCGTCTCGACGAGTCTCACTTCGACGATCTGGGCCTCAACAGGTTGAGGAAAGGAGAACAACTCTCCACCCGACATCGCGACGGCGCGCAGGGAGAAGACCTGATCAAGAGCAGGATGTTGATAGTGAGATTCAGTAACTTACTGTTTCCTGGCCAATGGCATACTGTACGAGTGGTTGCGATGCGTTCTTGGCAAATCGGATCGAGATCCGGGTCGGGTAGCCGTCGGCGGTTTTCTCGATATGGAGGCGTTCCAACGTTTTAGGGGTGCCGAGGTCGATGGTGACGGTCTGAAGAAGACGTTCAGAATTTTCAGATAACTAAGCGATCAAGCAGAATTTTTAGCTTTAAGATGGAACTCTCTTTTTACATACCTTAACCGGATCGTTCTCCTCTGCGCACCAGCCACCTCGAGACAACGTAGCCGTTGGGTACAGGAAATTCTCGGAAGTAGCCGTTGCGTGTACGACCGGAAGTGGGGAAGCGTTGGAGCAGCCTAAAACGTCGAGATTTCGTTTGTCTGAATGCCCTTACTCTTTTGACTAGTGAATCCGGCTCGGCACTCGCAGTAGTACCCTCCCGGCAAGTTTTGGCAGACGGTAGAAGCTACTGAAACACGCGATTTCTTCCAGTCTCTCGTTCTGTCTCTCACTCACTCTCTCTCCTCTCTCCCTCTCTTTCTCTTTCTGGCTCTCTCTCTCTCGCTCTCTTACTTTCTCTTTCTCCATACCTGAGCATAACGACTTCTGCTCGGTGCACTCGTCGATGTCAACGCATTTCGGCACGGTGGAGAAAGTCTGGTTGGCCAGGCATTCGACTTCTTCCGGTCCATCGCCTCGATATCCAAGATCACACTCCACACGAGCTGTATCTCCAAACGAGAACTTGTCCCCGGCGACGATGCCGCCGTGGGCGATCTTCGGGATGTTCGTGCAGGTCAGGCCTAAAAAGATCGTTTTCAAGGGGTGAA